GTGATAGTAAATGGTATTCATAGTGTTAGCTACCATGTTTCCCTGAAAATAAGACATCCTCCGAAAATAAGACCTACTTACATTTTTCCTTCTGAGTGAAATAGAAGGCATCCCCCCGAAAATAAGCCCCCCTCCCCCCCCAGGCTAAACATGAGAGATTTGGTCCACTGATTCTGAAAGAAATGGAGTCACAAGAAATTCACCGGAAATTCAGGAATTGGATTGTTATGATGTTTCAGGAGATGATGACATGATTGTCATTGAATAAATGAGTAAATTCTTGATACTGTAGGATTCACAGTTTGTCTGGTTTGTTTTGACAACTACCGTACTACTGTACTGTATACAGGTAATAAATTTCCTTTATTTTCATTTAACAATAAATGTGTACCATATTCTTCTTCATGGAAAAATAAGACATCCCCTGAAAATAAGACCTAGCGCATCTTTGGGAACAAAAATTAATATAAGACATTGTCTTATTTTCGGGGAAACGGTATTTAATAATGCTATTTTTAAAATAATTGAAGCCATGATGATTTTAACTCATATATTCTTGGTTTATTCATTTTCTTTATTGATCCCTTCAGCTTAAAGTAAGAATATAAAGGAATTCTAGTTGCCACAAATTCTACCAAGGGAAAACATTTTAAAATTTTTACTTCTTTAAAAAAATTTTTTTTTAAATTTATTTCAAAGAGGAAGGGAGAGGGAGAAAGAATCATCGATCAGCTACCTCCTGCACACCCCCTACTGGGGATCAAGCCTGCAACCCGGGCATGTGCTCTTGACCAGAATTGAACTCAGGACCTCTCAGTCTGCAGGCTTACCTCTACCCATTGAGCCAAATCAGCTAGGGCAGAACTTTTACCTCTTTATATAAGCAATGGATATAGGCTATAAACTGTAATGTTAGTTTTTAACAGTATTGGCTTTTAACAAGACCAGTAGGTCCATTGAGGTGCAGTACTTTTTTCTTTATAAAGTAAAATATAATCAAATAACAATTTTGTGCTCATCTTTATGAAAGTTGGTATAAGATCACATATCTGCTGATTTGGTTATTTGTATGTTATGCACTGTAAAGAAAGAAAACTAATACTTGTGATATAAATAATTCTTAGTTTAACCCTTTTCTCACCTGCCTAAATGGATATATTTGGTACACAGTAAAAAAGAAGAATAAGTGGATAAACCTATATGATAAAAGCCTAATATGCTAAGTATCCGGTTGTCTGTTCAACAACCAAAGAGTAATATGCTAATGATATGCTAAGACCGCTCAACCACTCGTTATAACATGCACTGACCACCAGGGGTAGACACTTTGGTAGGTTAGCTTGCTGCTGGGGTCTGGCCAATTGGGACTGAGCAAGAGAGGCTGGACACACCCTGGAGCCCTCCCACGGTACTCCCCAGATGGCCAACCTCCCACATCTCTCCCCAGTCCCTTGGACTGGCCTATGCCCACTTGAAATCCCGGACCCCGCAGGGGATGTCGGAGAGCTGGTTTTGGCCAGACCCCATGAATCGTGCACCCGGCCCCTAGTGGTATATAAACCTAAGTTGGTTGAGCTCAATCCCCAGTGGCATGTGGGAGGCAGCCAACTAATGATTCTCATCATTGATGTTTCTCTCTCTCCTTCCTTCTCTCCTCCCTTCCTCGCTGCCTTCTCTGAGATCAATTAAGATATATTTAAAACAAAAAGCAATTTGCAAATTCAGTTAATATGACATGGCTTTTAAACACTAACTTTCTGGTTACATGAAACTTTTTTTTAACAATTCTCTTTGCCACAGATTACAGTATTAACTAATAACAAGATTACTTTGAGGGAACTATTGATGATTCCTCATGTAGGAAAACTATTTGGTGTGGGAACTTACAGATATTTTACTTCTCACTTTTTTTTTTTAATTGAATTTTTTACAGAGAGGAAGGGAGAGGAATAGAGGGCTAGATACATCGATGAGAGAGAAACATCAACCAGCTGCCTGCTGCACACCCCCAACTGGGGATGTGCCCACAACCAGTGTACATGCTCTTGACGAAAATCAAACCTGGGACCCTTCAGTCTGCAGACCTACGCTCTATCCACTGAGCCAATCCGGTTGGCAGCTTCTCACTTTTTTTAAAATCAAGTAATCCCTAGAGCAGGAGAGGCAAATTTTTTTCTGTGAAGGACCAAACAAATGTTTTAAGGCTTGGTGGGCTGTGTGGTCTTTGTCTCTTCAATTCTGCCCTTGTAGCAGAAAGCAGCCATAGACAGTATGTAAATTAATGGGCAGGGCTATGTTCCAGTAAAATTTATTTACAAAAAGTAGATGCAGAGTGAAAGAGGAAATGTGAACCAAGGCTGATGACTACCCTAGAATGAGTTTTACTTGTAGTTCTTCTGATTGAAACTTAGATATTTATTTCCTAACTAGGGGCCCAGTGCATGAAATTTGTGAGGGGGGCAGTCTTCAGCCCAGCCTGCACCCTCTTCATTTGGGGACCCCTTGGGGGATATTCCTGTGGGATCGGGCCTAAACCAGCGGTTGGACACCCCTCTTGCAATCTGGGACTGCTGGCTCCTAACCACTCACCTGCCTGCCTGCCTGATCACCCCTAACTGCCCTCCCCTGCTGGTCTAATCTTCCCCCCAACTGCCTCTGCCTTGACCCCCACCACCTGGCTTTGTCTGGGAGGAAGTTGGACATCCGGAAGATGGCCAGTTGACCCAGCCTAATTAGCATATTACCCTTTTAGTAGTATAGATAGATTATATAGGATAGGATTGTTTAAATGGGCGGGGGACATAGGGCAGCCTTTTTCAGCAGGAGAAGCAGCGTTTGGCAAACAAAAACACAATCCCTAGCTCTAGACTGATAGCCAGCCATATGCACTATACTACCAAACCGGTCATGAAAAAATTGAACTGCTTTCTTACACCTTATACCAAACAGCTGATGTTGTTAAAACCCTTCCTCAGCTCTCACCTTAGGTTCTGCCTTTGCCCTTCACCCAGATTTGGTCCTGATTGGTCGGTTTCTATGCCTGTCAGCATCAAAAGCTCCATCTCCTAGGCAGCCATTGGCTCCTGGCACTTCACCCTGATATGGTGCTGATCAGTTGGTTTCTATGCCAGTCAGCATCTCTGGGCATATCAAAGAGGTGGGGCTGATCAGCAGCCCCTGAGGAGAGAAAGAGAGAGGCAAAGGCTGATCAACAGCTGGGGGTCAGACACTCCCTCTCTCTGCAGGCCTCTCTCTGGGCCTGATCCACAGCCCCCTCAGCAGCCAGTGCCAGGTCACTGCACCAGCACTGACTTTCAGTGTTTCCTCGAGCCTTGGTCGTTATGGACCCTGGCTCTTTTTATGTATATACATACATAATCTTTTTATATACATACATATATTTATATACATATATATGTGTGTGTGTGTGTGTGTGTGTGTGTGTGAGAGAGAGAGAGAGAGAGAGAGAGAGAGAGAGAGAGAGATACTAGAGACCCGATGTATAAATTTCTTGCAAGAGTAGGCCTTCCTTCCCCCCACTGCTGGCATTGGCTTTCTTCTGGAAGCCAAGACCCGGGCTTCCCTCTGGCTGCTGGCAGGCACCTGGAACCTGGGCCTTCCTCACAGGCTTTGTCTAGAAGGTCATCCGGAAGGACGTCTAGTCTAATTAGCATGTTATGCTTTTATTATCATAGATGAATAGACTAGAGGCCTGGTGCATGAAAATTCATGCATTGGAGTCAGGGTCCCTAAGCCTGGCCTGCCCCCTCTCACAGTCCAGGAGCCTTCAGGGGCGGGAGGCGACCCAGCAATCAGGAGATGATGACACCCCATCACCACTGCTGCTGCCACTGCTGGCAGCGCAAGCCTCAGCTGGCCCTGGTTACCTATGCCTTGGGCTGACCCTGGAAGGCTGGGGGACTTAGGGGACTGGGCACCACCATCTTGTGGCTATCGGCACCACCATCTCTGAGGGTAGGGCAGTCAATTAGCATATTTTCTCCGTATTGACTGTGGGTGCTGACATTTTTGACAACATGAGGGTCAATTATCATGTCTCTTTATTAAATAGTATACCTATAATAATAAAAGCGTGATATGCTAATTAGACCGGATGTCCTTCTGGACGAAGCTGGGGCTGTGAGGGAAGCCTGGGTCCCTGGTGCCAGAGGGAAGTTGGTGCTGGCAGCCAGGGGAAGGAAGGCTTATTTTTGCACTAATTGTTATAGAATTTTTATTCTACGTAATTTGAAAGAAATAGAAATAACTTGGACTTTGGTGTCAGAAATAACTAATTGTACCTAATTGCTGGTTGTGATGCTGGACAAATTGTTTTACATTTCAGAGCTTCAGTATTTTTGTTTATAGATTGGGAATTAATAGTAGCTATCTCCCAGAGAGGTTATATTTTTCATTTAGCAAGATTATTTTAGGCATTAGCTTGTGTCTCTTCCAGAACCTAGTAAAGAACTCTGCATAGAGTGAGCACCTCTATTCTTGTCTACTGAGGAATCAAAATCCCTGGAATTTCAGAGTGATTTAAAATTTACATCAGAGTTTTATACCATGTTCTCACTTTTGTTAGTGCTTGAATTTTTTAGTTTTCCTTGGACAGATTACATTATATAAAAACATAGTGTAAAGTTTTGATTTTTTTTTTTTTTTTTTTTGGTCAGTGGAAGCCTGGACCAGAATCTCTTGGAATTATAGATCTCCTTTTACTGTTATCTTAAATCTATCTGATTTATATGCAAACAGCAAGAAAGTGAACTCAATAAAAGAGTTTATGATGACCTGTAAACTTAAGTAATGGCATCAATTTGCCCAGACTTAGTGCTACTCTGGATGAGAAAGCAGAGGCTCTGTTTGCAGTACCACAAATAGAGCTGCTTACATCCTTATTGTGGTAGATGAGCTCACTTAACTGTGAACTTGTAGTATTAATTTCTGCTGGGTACACCTGCTTTGTTTCTAACTGCTCTTCTCTTTTTCCTTTTTAGGCAGGCAGAAGTCCTGAAGGCTGACATGACAGGTAGTGGCTGCTCCTTTGTTTTTCAGAACTTATTTTATACCATTAAATTAAGCAAAAGATATTTTTACTATATAATTTGAGGCACTTATTTGCTTTAAATATTTATTGTTTTATATTTTGAATTCTTACTTAGATGATGACCAGTCAAGAATTTTCTAGAAGCTGTACTATAAAGGATTGAATATTATCTAATTTACTACAGAGAATCGTTTATCTTTTATGAATTATTTATCAAGGATTTCAGATATACAGAAAAAAATTCACATACCATATGTTTATATCCTTTGGTATTAGGTTCTTTTTTTTTTTTTTAAGATATTAATTTTTTACAGAGAGGAAGAGAGAGGGATAGAGAGTTAGAAACATTATAAGCCTACTTATTGGAAAGGCTAATGTGCCTTTTAGGACTCTGGCAGACAATATGGCCTCAATTTGAAATTTTGTATAGAAATAGCCTGACTTTCTGATTTCATCTTGCAATGTCTCATTTGGCCTCTTGAGCAGTTTAATCACTGTCCGCCATCAGTTCTCATTTACATTAAATAGCAAGTATGGATTGCTCACAAAAGTGTCTTGGCAAGCATCCTACCAATCATTAAAATAATGCTCACTGGCCTGGTTTTATTGGATTGACATATATAGAATAGGAGTAACACAGAATGCCGAAACAGCTGCTGGATTATGAGCTGATGGGAAGATTTTGTAAGGACAATTGTGAGAATAATTAAAAAAAAGTTTTTTAAAGCTACTTTGGACAAATAGAGGTATAGTTGTGAGAGTAAATAGACCAACTTGGCAGTCCATCATTTCAAAGAGGGTGGTTAGTGTGAGAAATATGGCTTCCTATGGTATGAATACATAGAAATCCAAACCCAAAACAAAGGGTATACCATTCCTTTTTTTTTTTTTTTTTTTTTCCAGCCTTTTTCATTTCACGGTATTATTTTAAAGCTAAAAAACAAATACAGAAGCATATAGATTTAGTCATTAATCAAAAGGTGAAACTTATTTGAAATACAGTAGTATAAAACTTCAGCAACCTATGGTATGTACTGGTACTTACAGTAGGTTTTTACTTTGGGGAATGGGGAGGGGAAGGAATCATTGGTGTGGTACAGTGGTCTTAACTCTATTTACCCGTCTACTGTTCTGTTTTTGTTTTGTTATTCAGATTCTAAGCTGGGTCCAGCTGAGGTCTGGACATCCAGGCAGGCTCTGCAGGACCTGTATCAGAAAATGCTAGTTACTGATTTGGAATACGCTTTAGACAAGAAAGTAGAACAGGATCTGTAAGTATTATCATTTGGGATGCCCCTGTTGAGATCAAGGATCTCACCAAGACATTAGGATAGAAAAGAACAATGTGATTGTTTCTTTTTAACCTCTCTTAGAGTAAGCTTTTTCAATGAAAATAAAAAAGAAAAGATATTAAAATACTTGTGATTTGCTTAGGGGGGCCGGGACGGTGACAGGGACAAGAGAGATCTACCGAGTCACCTCTCATTAAGATCTTTAGGGCATTTCATAAAATAAAGAGGTATTTTCTTTTCCTCCTCACCCCCCCACCCCCCTTTAATAAGACTAAAGAAAGATTTTGTATATTTAGACTATCTCTACTCTTTTTTTTTTTTTAATATATATATTTTTTTATTTTATAGAGAAAAAAGGGGGAGGAAAACATCAGTGAGAGAGAAACATCAATTGGTTGCCTCCTGCATACCCCCTACTGGGGATTGAGCCTGAAAACCTGGAATGTGCCCTGACTGGGAATTGAACCGGTGACCTCTTGGTTCATAGGTCAAATGTTCAACCATTGAGCAACTGACCAGGCTGTCGCTCAATGGTTGTTCGTTCTTCCTTTGAGGGGTGAAATGACAGATAACCAGATTCCCAAGTGAGTAAATAAATGCCTTTTGTGGAAGGCCTTACCTTTTAAATTAAAACAAGGACGGTGGCCTGATGAAAAATTTTAAATCAGTTAAGAACATTCTATTTAGTAATGCCCATTTCCCAAAGTTGCAGTGAAGAGTTTTTTAGATCTAGTAATAGAGCTTAATCACAACCACTCAAAATCCATATCTATGATATTAGAGTCAAGGATAAGATGTCATCAAAAATTCTAAGGGAATGATTGACCTCATAAATTGTTTAAAAAAAAAAATAGTGCTCTGGAGCCTTAAAAGTTGACATTGATAAAAGTTAGGTACTTTCCAGGTAGGTTGTAAACCTTTTATCTGTTTGCTTCCTTGAATCAAGCCAGTAATATCATCCCTTCATCTTAGTTCTGTTTTTCCCCCCTCATGTGATTTCCAAGTTAGAAGGTGGCTGTATTTCACCAAACTGAATTTAAAATGATTCTCTTAACAACTCAATTAGTGAAAGGCATTTTATAACACGATTTTGGTATGCTATATTTCAGCATTGAGTTGTTTCTTATTTTTAAATAGCTAAAATTAAAATGTCAAAAAATGACCTTATATTTCAAGTTCTAAAGAAAACATTAACTCCAAGAAAAACCAACTATTAATTAGAAATAGAACTGTGAGAAATAGATTTTAGGGAAATAAGGGATATAGCTTAATATTTATAAAACTTTTTCCCCTCTCTACATGTAACTTGTTAGGGTACACTCAATTACTTTTTGGCATGATGTATGCAAATTTGTTAATAGTTTATTTTTACATTGGTGTTACCACTGTAGGTCTGATTTTGTACTGGGATCCCTAAGTAGGCTCTATATTTAGTAACACTAAAATATTAATAACTAAACAATCTGATTATTCAAATATTTGGTTAAGTGTTTACTAAGGCCAGTTGGATTCTACTGCGTGTCTAGTCTTGTTCAAAGGGGAGCCTAAAGTTATTTAATTAAGTCACTATCTTTAATGCAGGTTTTCTATCTAGTATGTTATAATTATAACAAACAGTTCTTTCTTGTTCTCAGGGGGACCAGTGTCTGCCCAGTGAGTCACTGCTATACAAATAGAATTACATTTTGTTTTCAGCTGGAATCATGCCTTTAAGAATCAGATCACAACACTACAAGGCCAGGCAAAGAACCGAGCAAACCCGAATCGGAGTGAAGTTCAGGCAAACCTTTCTCTGTTCCTAGAGGCAGCTAGTGGCTTCTATACTCAGGTGAGTTCTACATTGTATACAATTTTCCTAGAATTCTCTTTGTACACATCTTGTTCTTATAAATACTTTGTGGCTCTGGCTGGTTTAGCTCAGTGGATAGAGTGTTGGCCTGTGGACTGAAGGGTCCTGGGTTTGATTCCAGTCAAGGGCATGTGCCTGGGTTGTGGGCTCTATCCCCAATTGGGGGCATGCAGGAGGCAGCTGGTCAGTGGTTCTCTTTCATCATCGATGTTTTTAATATATATATATATATATATATATATATATATATATATATATATATATAATTTATTTTTTACAGAGAGGAAGGGAGGGAGAGAGAGACCTAGAAACATTGATGAGAGAGAAACATCCACCAGCTGCCTCTTGCACACCCCCCACCGGGGATTGACCGGAATCGAACCTAGGACCTTTCATTCTGCAGACTGACGCTCTACCATTGAGCCAAACCGGCTTCGGCCATCATTGATGTTTTTATCTCTCCTTCTTCCTTCCTCTGAAATCAATAGAAATATATTTAAAAACAAAACACAAAAACTCACTTTATGTAACCACTATGTGAGCCATCCAGTTGATCATCTATAATCTCAAGTGAATAAAAATGCCCCAAATTTTGTACCATAAGAAGCCAGATCATAATGGATTAAGGAATGAATTAGGAATTAAGAAAGCAGATATAGCACATTGTGGACTCCTTTGAATGAGTTTGGTGAAATCTTTTTGAGTGTGTTTCTTATTGATATTTACTGAGAGGAAGGGAGAGGGATAGATAGAAACATCAATAAGAGGGAAATATTATCGATTGGCTACTACCTGCACACCCCGTATTGGGGATCTAGCCCTTAACCCAGGTATGTGCCCTGACTGGGAATCGAACTGGGGGCCTCTTGATTCTTGGTTCGATGTTTAACCTCTGAGCCACACTGTCCAGGCACTGAAGTTGTTTTTTTTGTGTTTTTTTTTAATGTTGCCATTCCTTCTAGATGCCTATTCTAGATTGCTCGAATACTTGAGAATTCAAGAGAGATGATTTGTAATGAATGCTACTCATTATCATATGAAGGATTACCATATGTACAAGAGAAAATGACAATAAATGCTGTTGTTATTTGCTTCTATTTGATTGGGGGGGAAAAGAAAGGAAAGGTTACCATAAAATTTTCTTGAAGTCCTTGCTCAGGTTTCAGCAGTATGTGATATTAGATACATACGTTAAAGTATACAAGTTTTACTAAAGAGCACTTCTGACTTAATACTAAATCTTACTATGTTTTCCTTTCAGTTATTACAAGAACTGTGTACAGTGTTTAACGTAGATTTACCATGCCGTGTGAAGTCTTCCCAATTGGGAATTATCAGCCATAAACAGACGCATACCAGCGCCATAGTGAAGCCACAGTCCAGCTCCTGCTCCTATATCTGCCAGCACTGCCTCGTGCACCTTGGAGACATTGGTGAGCCTTTGGTGTGCCTTTGGTGTGAAGGAATTGTAATACATTTATTCTTTCCTTTGGTGTGGTCCTAGAGGGAAGCTCAATTTCCCTGTAAACTGAGAATGCAAACACAATTTAGATGGTCGTAAGAGGAAACTAAAATATATTTTAAGGCACTTAGATTTTCTCATTGTTTTGACATTGGCAAAGGACTTTGAAGGAAGTAACTTTCATATTAAGATTTAAATTTTATTCAGATTTGTGCAGATGGAGGCAAATGATAAATAGCAAAAATGTAATCAAAGCTAAACTTTTCAGAATGGTGCCATAATATTTCCTAAATTAAGTCTATACTCCTGGAATTGTGGGGTTTATAAATTATTCCTTCTGAAACCAGATTGCCTTCTTTCCTTCCTGCCAGTGCATTAAAAGCTTATTTCTGTTTCCTTTTAACAGTTAAATTTGTATTTCCATTTTATATATTTAAATCTGGGAATGTTATGTAATTTATTTCTTGTTCATTCCTTTAAAGTGACCTAAAAAATGGTTGTAAAAAATTAACTATAGGATTATGTTTTGTTGTCCTCAAATAACAGGAAATTGAGAACATTACTGCTTTAATATCAAAGATTTCAGATTTCTTGATGTCATAAGTCACTAACTCCATGAGGGGTTACATCAAAGTAAGCACCAAGTTCTGCAGGAAGATTCAAGGAATAGTGTATTTAGGTTGTTTTGCTGTCAGTGTATTCTTTGCACACACATACTTAGTATTGCATTTAGGTATGAGGCATTTTTCAAAATCACTTTATAAATAATTGAAAGAAATACATAATTTTCAGATCATCTTGTATAGTGTTTTTTGTTTTGTTTTGTTTTTAAGTGCCATATAACTCACCCCTTCTTGGCCGGCTCCAGGTCACCAGCATAGTGAGAGCTGGTGATGCATGACACTGGAGGACCTGAAAGTGGGGGCTAGGTAAGCTTTAACATTGGTTACATGCTGAATGTCCCACATAGGGAAGGCTGGATGGACACTTCACACATAATCCTATAGTTAATTTGTTTTAAAGTATTTTTCTGTCTTTAATGCTCTTAAATCAATTTTAATGTGTTTGTTATCTTTAGAATTTAAAACAATAGCCTGTTTTGGAAATATTACCCTAGTTGTTGCTTTGTTTGTTTGTCTTTAAACGACATTTTCTTCTTCCTCCTCTCAGCTCGATACAGAAATCAGACCAGCCAGGCAGAGTCCTACTATAGGCATGCAGCTCAGCTTGTCCCCTCTAATGGTGAGTGAGTCTCATGTCAACTGGTGGACAGTGACACTTCATTCAGTACAGCAGTATGGTAAATAACTGAAGGCTTATCTTTCATGTTTTAGGAGTTTTGGTATTGATTGTCATATTTTCCCTTTTAACTATATATTTAGAAATTTCTAAAATAACTTAAAGCAGTATAAGTAGAATATTCCCTAACGTGATCTAAAATTATTTCAACAATTCTGACTTCCATAATTACTTATAGAATAATTCTCTCTTTAATACCACCATTTTGGTCCTAGGAAAATTATCTCATTATCTAAAAGGTAGTGGATTTGTATTTTGGTGGTCCCAGAAATATGTGTTAGCAGTGATTCTTGAAGTAGAGAAATTATAACAGATGTTTGATGATATAAGTCATTCTTGTTAAGCCACATTAAAATTCCTCTATAAATTCTAAAAGGAGACCTTGAGAAAATCTCAAGCAGGGATGATAATCTGCAAACTTCGTTTCGTCTTGTCTATGGCTGCTTTCCCACTGCGTTGGCAGAGCCGGTAATTCATATTAAATGGAAGTTGTAATAGAGACTCTGACCCCCTAAATCAAAACATATTTACTATCTAGCCCTTTCTACCAGTTGTATTTGAACTTAAAGTGCTGTCCACTGCAATTATGTGGCTTTTTAACCTAAACATTTTATGTTTCATTGCTGAGGTGTGTTGGTTTACATTATGCCTATTTGTAATGAGATCATCATGACATTTACTTTATCCAGTACTCCACCCTATTAATTTAAAGGCTTGAAAACTGATAATTTGTTTTCTGATTGCAAAACTTGGTGCATCTTTAGTTACTTTAGAATTTTGACTTTCTCCTCTAGGTCAGCCTTACAATCAGTTGGCTATCTTAGCTTCTTCCAAGGGAGACCATCTGACCACAATTTTCTACTACTGCAGAAGCATTGCTGTGAAGTTCCCTTTCCCAGCTGCCTCCACGAATCTACAGAAAGCACTTTCTAAAGCACTGGAAAGGTAGGGCTGACTTTCCCAAGAGGACTTGTGTAACCTGGTAGGCTTCACCCCTCAAATTTAGGCATATATCGATAAGACGTAATGGCAAGTTCCCTATGCTTCTCTTATACTTGCCTGATTTATAAACAATAATAAGTAATAGTTTTGTATATAGTTTTCACCAAATTTTGACCAATCAGCAACTGATTTGTTCCCAGTAGAAGAGTACAGGCTGCTGATTACTGCCTCCACCTGAGTGTCACATTTGAAAGTCAGTCAGGCGCAGAATCCTCTCTAGGTTCAAACATTGTATTTTTACAAACTGAAGCCTCCTTTAAGAGGTTTTAGCCAATTTACTGCTTAAGTTTCATGGAAGTTTTTCTTTCATTTCAGCCGGGATGAGGTGAAAACCAAGTGGGGTGTTTCTGACTTCATCAAAGCCTTTATTAAGTTCCACGGCCATGTGTACCTGAGTAAGAGCTTGGAAAAGTTGAGCCCTCTTCGAGAAAAATTGGAAGAACAATTTAAGGTTAGATTCCAAAACCAGAGAATTTATTGTCTTGTTTAAATAAGCATAAGATTTGGAGGAAGATGAAACTCAGTTTTCATGCCATTACTTAACTGTGAACTGTTGGTAAAAATTAACATTAACATTAAATACGAAAGTTTTGCATACAGCATCCTTTTGATTTAAACTAAGGTGCCCTTTATACAAAAAAATACATGCAGCAACAATGGCCTAATAAGTAGCTGCCATTTGGCAAAAAGTATCCAAGTGGAAAGAAGTAACTCCTTTCTCAGACCAACCACATTTATTTCTCAATTTGCAAAGTATTGCTTTTGATGGATTAGATATTTTTAGGTACGGTTTCGTTACCTATTTTATAGGTATTTCCATTCTGCAAATGAAGCTCATTTCTCTTGTATTTTGGTCCATCAAGATTTGTGGTAGTTTGAAGAAAAGAAATGAGAAATTTCATTCAATTATTTTACTCAATTATTTCTAGTTACGTATGTGAAAATTATCTTGGGTTAGGTTAGTATATTAAATTAGTTTAAATGTAGTGTATGATAGGTAAAATGTGGGAGGAGTCAAAATTAAGTATTAACTTTATTTTTAATTTATTCAACAAATATTTGACTGTTGTAAACCTGTCACTGTTTTAGTTACTGGAATCAACATTAAACAAGACATTCTCAATGAGCATTTTTTATTTCGTGGTTACTTCTGGGTATCTTTACACTTTGGAATTGTCTGTAACAGCAGTCGCCAACCGGTGATCCGTGGACCACACAGGTGGTCCATGAGGTCTAAAAGGTTGGTGATCGCTAGTCTATAACAATTTTATAGTTTTACAGATATTATAAAAGTCTCACAATTCAGAAATTGTATAACTTAATTAAGAGACATAAATTAGCCAAATGTAATAAATATGAAGTGGTTTTTACAGATAATCAATTTTTAGTTGATACTTTTATATAAAATATAAAAGTTAATTGATTTCAGAGAGGAATGGAGAAGGAGAAAGAGATAGAAACATCAATGATAAGAGATAATCATTAATCAGCTGCCTCCTGCACTGCTCCCACTGGGGATCTAGCCCACAGCTCAGGCATGTGCCCTCACCTGAAATTGAACCGCAACCTCCTGGTCCATAGGTCAACACTCAACCCCTGGGCCACATCAGCCTGGTGTAGTTGATACTTTTTGTGTGAAAGAGAGTATAGTAAATAACTAATAAATTTGTTTGTTTTAAAATAAACTTCTAAAACAAGAGTCCCTTGCAGTTTTCTGTTTCTCTTAGTGGCATATGTAAACTTAGTCCATGATTTATAGAGGGGGGTCGGGTGCATGAAAGCAACAACTTACTTTGTAATGCCCTCAGCTATTCAGCCTGGAAAGAACAAACAAGTCTCAATAGCTTCATTTTAAGTTTTCAAATAACTGAAAGATTATTTTAAAATGACATATCTTTGTCTTTCCTGGAGTCAGAACTAAAATCAAATCTTAGAATTTGAGTAGAGATATGTAGGGTGTTGCTGAGGACACTCCTTTGAAAACTTAACAGTCAGGTTGACAGCTATCTTCTTGGATGGTGTAGGTGTAGTCCTGTTACATATCGGGATTGGACAAGATGACCTCTTGAGATTACTTCGAGCTCTCTTGTCCTATGAAAGATACACTCCCCAAACAGGGAGGGCATGGAACCTACCTTAATGAAATCCTCTCCATGTAAGTTATTCTAGTCTAGAGCCTAGTCAGTTTTGCATTTGGTTCAACCTCAAACACTAATATGCTCTTCAAATATATAATTTTGTATGTGAAGTTCTGGTGGGAGTGTGTGGGCAATTGTGAAGTATCATTCCTGCACTCTAAAATTAAACACAGGATGAGGCAGATCTATTTTAAACCTCACCCAGTACTAAAATGTCACAAGAACATTGTGGAGTGAAATTTTAGCATAGTTGAGTAAATATACAAAAGTATTTTAAATCCTATATAACAAAAGGCTAATATGCAAATTGTCCCCTCTACCGGGAGTTGAACCAGAGGGCAGGGCTGCCTGTCAATCACTCAAGGCCCTTCCTCTTCCCCCATCCCAATCCTTGCCAACCAACCTCCCTAGTCCCCCTCCCCCTGGCTGGCCCTCTCCTATCTCCAGTAGGGCCCAGCTGGGCCACACCCATTCACAAATTTATGTACGGAGCCTTTAGTTTGTAGATAATGATGTAAACTTCAATGTCTGTTTAACTAGCAATCTTTAGCTACTAAGCAGAAACATTTACCAAGTTGAGGTTCATTGAAGGATTAAGGCTTGGAATTTAGGAACTGAGGTGTAAGGCTTTTTATATCTGTCAAATCTATGCTATTTCCTAATGGTATTTAATTCAGTGTTTTCCTCAATGGCTGTTCAAACTTTTTCAGTAGCAATATGTGTGTTCCTATTTGAATTTGTCTCAGCGAGAATCTACTTACTTCAGTACAATCTAAATTTTACAAAAGTACAATTGAATAATTACACATTGACTTCCAAAGGTGTGAATTATTCCTTCACTAAATATTTGTTGTGTGCCATGCACTTTTCTAGGCCTTTGGAGACACAGAGGAGAGAACAAGACAAAGTCTGTGCCTTCATGAATTTAATCTTGCATATGGTGTAGCCTAGTACTAGCAAATATGTCAATGCTTCTGTGCCTACCTTAGAAAGTCCTTTAAAGGGTCAGGATTCTGTAATGTAGGACATTGCCTTCTAAAATGAACACTGCATTGCTATATTGTAATTGTAAGAAAAAATGCTTTTTGAAAAATACAAATTAGTATTCTCATTTATGCCAGTCCACTGGTTAGGCTCTCCTCATGCCTATGTAACAATGTAAATGTATTACTATAATACATTTGTGTAAAGGCTGGATGGAGAGATTGAGAATTCTGGAGAAGAGTTAGGATTTCAAGACATTTTCAGGAAAGGGTAGAAAAATGCTTAATGCCTTTGGGAAAGAAGTGAGCATTCTAGATGTATATATGGGAGTGACAGATGGCAAGGAGGCTGAGAGATCTGATAGGGAGAGGAGAATGAAAGTGGAATGGAATTATATTTTTCTCCAATGATAATGTGAAAGGTTTTGCTAATGAATTATAGATCTTGTTCTGTATCTGTTTCCTACCATAAGGTAGTGAGAGTCTCCATTGTCTCCACAAATTTTCATTTGGGACAGAGGCAGGTTGGCTGTAGCTAAAATGTAGAATGAAGCCAGATGTCATCTTTGTTATCAACTTTGTTAGGAACTTGTGGGGTTGAAATGGGCGATTAGGTTGAGGTCACCAGCTGAGTGCATGGAGGTAAATTATTCCTTTTAGTGCAGATTAGCAGGTCTTTTTGAACACATGGTTATTAAGTCAAAGAAGTTGATGGTCATGGATATACCTTCGGGGGAAATGTCAGTGAAATAATTTGTAGAAGTACCTGTAGTATGTTAATGATTGCTTTAGATATCATTTGCCCTTTATTCCAAAGTATGTTCTTGCTATATACCTTGTTTATAAGTAAGTTTCTTTAAGTATGTCAGGCCTTTGAAAGAGTAAATTGTATGACAAGTTTTGGAAGTCAGACATGTACCAAGAGTTCAAAAACATGTTTTGAGTATTTGAAATTTTTCTTCTCACTATATGCATGTACCTTTTAGTCATTGGTCCCAATTTGATATTTTAGTGTGTATGCATCTCTTATAAAACAGCTTCTAATGGATGAAGGCATGTGAATTTATTGATGGATACTGAAAACTTGTGAAAAATAGTTCAGTAGTGTTTGGGTTGAGTTTTTTCAAGGCAAATGGTTAGCATGAGAAACATCAGACCACGTTAGACTCAATTAAAATACTGAGATTATTAAAAGCGGAATAGTTTACTCATCTGTAATTTACTGTAACCCAATGTAGCTCTGAATACAGACTGACAGTTTAATTCTTGTGTTGAAGATGGCTCCTGTTTTCGATAACAGTATATGCAAAAACCTATCTTCTTTTACAGAGGCTGCTGTTTCAAAAAGCTTTCAACTCTCAGCAGTTAGTTCACGTCACTGTCATTAACCTGTTTCAACTTCATCACCTTCGTGACTTTAGCAATGAAACAGAACAGCATAGTTACAGCCAAGATGAGCAGCTGTGTTGGACACAGTTGCTGGCCCTCTTTAGTAAGTATTAAATCATTTTTAACTTTCTGTTCCATCTTCTTTGGCCTTTTCATCATAAAGCATTAATGCTATATAAAGAAGTGTCTTGTATGTTTTAATATTGCATCAAGAGGCCCATACTCTAAATTCTGTTGCTTATCTGCTGACATCCATCGTCACTGTATCTGTAACAATTTTAACTTGGGAATGAAAAACTCTTTTTAGAAAGAAGCTGTGAGACTGATAACAAAATTTCAAATACCTTACGCTTTCTGTATACATTTTTTTCTTTTGAGTGTCTTTTTTTGGCATCCTGTGCAAGTGTCCTCTCCAGAACAAGTCTCAGGAGGAATCCTACAATGCTTATCCCCTTCCTGCAGTCAAGGTCTCCATGGACTGGCTGAGACTCAGACCCAGGGTCTTCCAGGAGGCGGTGGTGGATGAAAGACAGTAGTGAGTATCTTAGAGTTTCGTGTCAGCTTTTGTGCTTTGTTTGTTTGATATTCAAAGATATGTTGAAACCACCTTAGAAAACACAGTATTTAAACAATGGAAGGCTGTATTTCCACCCACTCTTTGGAAATTGAACTGAAGACCTCTTTGTATGCTTTCCTTTTATTTGTTTGAATTCTTCATGTGAAGCACAATCTTCAGGCTTTCTGACTTTTTGTGTCCCCCCCCCGCCCTTGGTCTCAGTTGCCACCCTGGGGAAGTGGCATTTTTCACATTCCAAGTGAAATGGAGATAAAACCAGTTTATTTCATATTCACTATAGTATGCTCCAATTTTTTATTTAGGAATTAAAAGAGATTTTTACTTCTTTCCATTGTTTTCTATACGTAACCTGTTTGGTGTTGTCGTATAGTAATGCCCAATTTGAGTTATATTTGTTTGGTTTAAGCATAGAAAATTTTGGTCATCGCCATTTTCTCACTAATCTCTACTCAGAGTAATTCTGACAGTTCTTAGGAACTATTCGTTTTAGAGTGAAAAATGAAAGCCTTCAGCTTACCTTGGATTGTGGGAACATTTTCAAAAAATTTTCAGTGAGTTGGAAGTTCCTCCCCTGCATATATTTTTTTAAAATATATATATATATATATATATTTCATTGATTTTTTTTTACAGAGAGGAAGAGAGAGGGATAGAAAGTTAGAAACATTGATGAGAGAGAATCATCGATCAGCTGCCTCTTGCACACCCCCTACCAGGGATGTGCCCACAACCAAGGTACATGCCCTTGACCGGAATCGAATCTGGGACCTTTCAGTCTGCAGGCCGATGCTCTATCCACTGAGCCAAACCGGTTTTGGCCATATTTTGATGATGGATATAAGGAGAAGCCCTTTGACATTTCTGCTTTGTGTCCCAGCATCTACACTTTGACCAAGGGCACAATCTTGAAAATGTCCCAGCCACATTTAAGACCCTGTGATCCCTTTACTTAATTTTCTTTTCTTTTCCCCTTAAACCTAACTATAAGTTCATTTACTCTATGAATAGAGTTTAGTAACATAGCACAGCATACCAAACATCTCCTCTTCATATCAGTGTGAGCATTGTAAATAATGTATATTTTTAAACATTGTTTCCTGGTGCAAAATTTTCATTTCTTCATTCAGAGGCTATACCGTTTTCCTTCCCTTTGGTACTTTAAAACCCATTACTTGTGTTTGTTATAGGAAGTTGTATCAGTGACTCTATGAAAAAAGAATTCTGTATTTTATATTTACTTGAGAGTTTTTGTATTTATGGGCAGGGATTGATTGTTCTGTTTTGGTTTTGTTCCTGTAGTGACTCTTTTGGCCCACTTTTTGCGTCCCATTTCTTTTTTCTTTTTTTAATTGATTTCAGAGAGGAAGGGAGAGGGAGAGATAGAAACATCAATGATGAGAGAATCATTGGTTGGCTGCCTTCTGCATGACCCTTACTGGGGATCAAGCCTGCAATCTGAGCATGTGCCCTAGACTGGAATTGAACCCGGGGCCCTTCAATTCGCAGGCCAACTGGTTTGGCTCAATTCTATCCACTGAGCCAAACTAGTTAGGACTACATTCCCATTAGCATGGCAAAATGGTTATTCATGCAGAGGAATACCTCCCCCCCCTCCCCACTTTTCTTTCGTATCATTTACTCTTCCCCCTGCCTCCTATCAGATATATCAGGATTTTTATGCCCTTGCAGGTATTTCATTCTATTGTAAATTATGTTACAATTCATTTTAAAGACAAGTGTGGGGTATGTCTCTAAAACTGGAGATTTTCTTCCTATGTTTCTCTATATATCCTTTTGTACTTTTTTAATGGCATATTCCCTTCCCATATTTCAAAGTACACAAGTATTAGTAGTTGTCAAGTTTTCTCCAAGTTGTGATTACTTACATCAAATTTCTGTAACCTGGGCACCTTGACCTAGCTTTTTTATCACACTTTTCACCAACATTGGTTGTTACACATTCGAAGAAAAGCTTGATGTTGCCTTAAGTAGAATATGGATTATTTTAAATATTTTTAATATTTTAAGTAAACATTAAAAATTTTTAAATATTTACAAACTCACAAAAATAGCTTGTGTATTAGGAAACAGAGTTTAGAGGTAGGGATATTGTAACAGTATATATATTCATCACATTGACCAGAGAATGTGATTTGACTGGTGTAACCATACATGCTGATTCAGGTTAAGAACTAAAAAGGGGTTCTACTTTTTACTGATGATGTATGTGAAAGCTCTATAAAAACAAACATGTTGCTTCTCTGGTCATAGTTTCTCAGTAAATACCAATTTTCAATGTTTAAAACTGAAAAATTATTAAACTTAACTAGTTTTAAATTAGGAGCCTGAGAAACATCTGCAGTAGTATTTGACACTCTGGTGTATCTTTCATTAGACATCTTTGAAAATATGTTTTAGGAAGTCATAGTCTTTAAAGTGCTAAAGCAAGGAGAAAAATGCATTTTCTTGACTGTTTAGTGTTCTGGTTTCTCTTATGTGAAAATAAAGTCTGCACTATCACTTTCATTTTCAGCATTTGGCCCTGGCTGATTTCTCTTCTAAATAGTTTCCATCCCCATGAAGAGGATCTTTCAAGTACCAATGGTAAGAACAACCTCAACCTTGTGCTGTTGACATTGTTCTCCATCACTAATGGTAGGCTAAGGCCACAGAAAAGCAGGTTTGTGTTTTTATGTGTTTGATGTTAAATTTAATATATCAGAAGTGACTTTGAACTCTATCCAGAGTGAGTGGGTGGAAGCAGAGGTGATGTTCTTCCAGTAGCTAATTCTCCTATTTAGCTGCATCTGAACAGGAGCACAGAGCGTTCATACCTTCAAATTCTTTCCATTCTCCTCGTTCTTAGTATTAAAAAACAACAACAACAACACAACAAAACACACACACACACAGACGCACGCACACGCGCACACAAAGAAAACTAATGTAAACAGCATTACTCTGTCAAAGTAATGCCTACTTACCATGAAACATTTGAGACATACAAATATAAGAACACAAGTCACCTGTGGTTCTCTCATATAGAGATACGGGATAGTATTGTTTTCTACGGACCTTTTTGTATGTGTATATACACAGCCTTTATGTGATTGGTATCTCAGCTTTGTACTTGCTTTTTCAATTTAACATTATATTGTTAGCAAAAGCTTTGTCATTTAAACATTTTGACACATTATTTTTGCTGGCTGCATAATAGTCCATGCTATGTATATGCCATAATCTATTTAATCATTATCTGTTTGCTTTAAAATTTTCCCCCATTATAAATAATTCTACACTGCACAATCAGTAGTTGATTTCTTTTTGATTATATTTCTTCCATTAGATCTATGCCCCTCAACCATTAATTTGCAAATGAACCTCCTGGGACCTTGTTGAAAATGCAGTAGGTTGGGATAGTGCCCAAGATTCTACACTTCTTAAAAGCTCCCAGATGATGTCAATTTTGTAATTCAATACTTTGGGATTATGGGATTACTGGGTCTGAGGCTGTGAAATTTTAAGACTGCTTGTGGTTGGGGGGAAGACATCATACTGCAACTCAGCGCTGGGTAAGGGTGAATGTTAGGGCAATGGCAGGGCCCAAAGGCAACATGGAGGGCTTTGACAGGTAAGTTACTATGAAGAAGAGCAGGGAACTATGAATATCATATAGTTTCTCCAGAGACTCCCCCCCCCCCCCCCCCCCGCGCGCGCACACACACACACACACACACACACACACACACACACACAGCAGTATTCTGCTAAACAACAGGATTTTAATTAAAATGTTTATAAATCTTGATTTCTACCCTTCTCTAGCTACACCACTTCCAGAGGAGTTTGAGTTACAAGGATTCTTGGCTTTGAGACCTTCTTTCAGGTGGGTGGCAGCTGGAAGAGGCTGAGTTCATTGCTAGTGGTTGCCATATTAAAATTATGCGGAATCAGGCTTGGGTGTGGAAGCACTTTGATCTTTCTCAGCTTTGTCTTCTTTTCCTAACAGCAACTGAGAGTCAAAGTTTTTGTTTGTTTGTTTTAATTTTCTTTATTGATTAAGGTATCACATATTTGTCCTCATCCCCCCATTCCCATTCCAAACCCATTCCCATGCATGCCCCCACTCCCCTGTTGTCCGTGGCCACTGGTGGGGCTCATACGATGCACACAAGTCCTTTGGTTGATCTCTTATCCCCACCCTCCCCTACCTTCCCTCTGAGTCAAAGTTTTTTTTATGTAAAATGGATTTATATATGTTGTGTCTTTAATGACTATGTAATACCAATACTAAGTACTTGAGAAAAGGAAAGAGAATTGCTTCTTCTAAGTGAAATTTATTTCCTTTTATACTTTCCTTGAAATCAGGGAAAGTCTCAAAATGGAAACCAAATGGAAACCAAAGGATATTGCTTGACATATTTCATATTAAGAATAAAGCACTCTGTTTTCCCAATCATTTTGTCTCTGTTCCTTCTCTTTAAGAGGAATAACTTCTTACTCCTTTTCAAATCTAGTCCTTTCATCTGTGTCCTTGATCTCATCCTTTCCTACATCCCCAAGAACCTTATTCCATCTATCCATCTCTCTCTGCATTATATTTTCAGTATCTTATTTTTTTTTTAACAGCAAATTACTTCCTTTTGGCTTAGTAACATTTAAATATGCCCTATTTCTTAAAAAAAATAAAATTTATGCCCTGGCTGGGTGGTTTAGTTGGTTAGAGTGCTATCCCATCACCAAAATATTGCAGGTTCAATTCCTGGTCAAGGTACATGCCTAGGTTGTGGGTTTGTTCTTTAGTAGGGGAACGAATGGGAGGCAACTGACCTGATCAATGTTTCCCTCTCGAATTGATGTCTGTCCCTCTCTTCCTCCCTCTCCCCCTTCCTCTCTAAAAATCAGTAAACATATATTTGAATGCGAGTTTTTTTTTTTTTTAAGTAAAAATCACAACCTCAGCTTTCTCTTCATCATTAAACTTCTAAGAGGTGTGAGCACTAGTCCTGATGAACTGCTTCACAGCCAGTTATTTCTCAGCCTACTGCAACTGTAAACTCAATGCTTCTCTCCTGGTTACCAAGTTGTATTGACTTCTGTATAATTTTCATCCTATATAATTTTTTTTTTGCATTCAGTCTGTTGTTCCCCTTCATGAAACCTTTTTTTAGCTCTGTTTTCTTAGCCCACAATCATTCTTCTCCTACCCTTATGAGACTCAGTTGCGTTCTTTCTTTTGTACTACATGCCTTGGAATATTGGGGTTCTCCCCTTGCCCTTTCCTTTGCACTCTACGTTCTTTTGGGTGATCATATCCATCCTTTTTGTCTTGAGCTTTCACCTCCTGGATACTAAGTCCAAAAATTTTCAATTCTGACTTAAGAGTTTAGACTCATATTTCTAGAGTCATGTTTTGACATAACCAAAAGTGAGCTAGTATTTTCTTATTTGGTTAGTAAAATATGATCTTTCTAAATTTATCTGTATGTCATTATCCAACTACATTAACAGTTCTTATTTCTATTAATCTTTCTCACCAAGTCTTTGTAATTCTGTGTCCAAAAGGCCTGTTAGATACAACTCCTCCCATTTATTTCATCATAGTTCAGGCTTTTATTATCATTTACCTGCGGTAAAAAGTTTCCTAATTACCTTCCCTATTAGAGTCCCTCTCTTTCTATAGTTTATTTCTATCCTGTTTCCACATTTAATATATATATTTTATTGATTTTTTTTATAGAGAGGAAGGGAGAGGGATAGCGAGTCAGAAACATCAATGAAAGGGAAACATCAATCAGGTGCCTCCTGCAACATCCCCTACTCGGGATGTGCCCACCACCAAGGCACATACCCTTGACTAGAATCGAACCTGGGACCCTTCAGTCCGCAGACCAATGCTCTATCCACTGAGCCAAATCAGTCAGGGCTCCATATTATATTTTTAAAGTAGGTATAGACCTGATGATGCCCTTTACTAATAAGAAACAGTTGTTCAAATGCTTAGTTGTGCAGCATAGTAGTATTTTCTATCACTATGCAGTGTAAGTTTCAGCCTTATTTTCCACTTAACATCCTCTTCCTCACTAATACCTACCTATACATATTTACATTCACTGTTATCTTCTTGAATAGCTCTGTGTTTTTATTCTTCTAAAACTTTGTTCATACTATGTCTAGAACTATGTCCTTTTTCTCTTTGTCCTTCCCTCACTTATAACTGGCCATGCTCCAGCTCAGATGCCAGCTATGTGAAACCTTTTCAGAGTTTATCAGAAGGAACTTACTCTCCTTTTTTGGTTTGCACTCTAATATTTTCCATAGTGTGTTTTCTGCTTTGCTTCATTGGACTTAACATCTTGGGGAATATAAATTAAAACAAATGTAATTAATTACATCAAGTAGTTAACCTTTATGGAAAAATATGAAGCCATTTCAGTTAGATAATTAGAATTATTTGCTTGCCTAGGAAATATCTTTTATAACTTGCTTATATCAATTTTAGGAACTTGGATTTTTCCAAAGGCCACCAAGGTATTACAGGAGACAAAGAGGGTCAGCAACGACAAATACGGCAGCAGCGCTTGATCTCTATAGGCAAATGGATTGCGGATAATCAGCCAAGGTATTTCATTAAATACACATACACAGCCACTTATGTTTTAGTCTTTGGTATAGTGCTACTAGTTATAAACTCTTAAAACAAAATGATAGCAACATAGCAAATTATAACCTTGGTGATCATTATACTCTTAAATCTCTCTTCTCCCCATTACCTACCTATTGTAGAGGAATTGGCCTCACCCCCTTGTTTATCATGAGCTTCTGCTCTAATTCATAAACATTTATGTAAATCTAATTTGTACATTTCACAGTTAAGGTGCTTGGTATTGATTGACAGGGCCATGGTGATCAGTTTCAATCTGAACAGACCAGGATGGAGCTACTGGCTAATTAAATACAAAGCACATTGGGTAGTTGGTGTAGTGGAGGGCGGAGGTCTTAGAGTCAGACCCCATTTAAGTTCAGCTTCTAGTTCTGCCACTTCCTCAGGTTTCTGTCCTTGGGATCCTCTGCTTGATTATAACCTGTCCAAAGTCAGTCAGTGTTTCATAGTCATTTTGTACTGAGGTTCCTGTCATCCTGTGAGCATTTAAAGTAGTTGTATGTTTGATTGAACTTATTACCTCTTAGCTTAGTTTTCACATCTATAAAATTGGAGTTATAAATAGCTACTTCAAGGGCCTAATCTAGTGCCTATGTTTAAAACATGTTCAGTATTTGTAGCTGCAATTATTGGAAAACATTAAAAGGGCACGGATATGTGTTGCAGTGTTGAATTTGATAATGAGAATATAAGTCTCTACATAATTTCTTTTTGTGTTACCTGAATCCACATTGTTATTTTCCTGCTATTTCCAAGTCTTTTCTTTTTTTTAAAGTTTATTATTGATTTTTTACAGAGAGGAAGGGAGAGAGATAGAGAGTTAGAAAAATCGATAAGAGAAAAACATCAATCAGCTACCTCCTGTACAAGCCCTAGTGGGGATGTGCCTGCAACCAAGGTACATGCCCTTGACCAGAATCGAACCTGGGACCTTTCAGTCCTCAATCCACTCAGCCAAACCAGTTTTGGCTGTTCCCTGTTTAGGGCTGGGAATCTTTTGACTGTTGGATACACAATTCAATGGTACTGTTTTTTAGGTTTATGTTTTTCATATATGGATTTATTTTTACTTTTTTAGGCTGATTCAGTGTGAAAATGAGGTAGGGAAATTATTGTTTATCACAGAAATCCCAGAGTTAATACTGGAAGACCCCAGTGAAGCCAAAGAGAACCTTATTCTGCAAGAAGCATCCATGATAGAGTTACTGGCTGAGAATGGGAATCCAGGACTGAAATCGGTGCTGTCTACGGGCCGAAACCTAAGCAACAACTGTGACACGGGAGAGAAACCAGTGGTCACCTTCAAAGAGAACATTAAGCTACGAGAAGTGAACAGAGACCAAGGAAGAAGTTTTCCTCCCAAAGAGGTGAGAAGGGACTATAGCAAAGGAATAACTGTAACTAAGAATGATGGAAAGAAGGACAACAACAAGAGGAAAACAGAACCCAAGAAATGCACCTTAGAAAAGTTACAGGAAACAGGAAAGCAGAATGTGGCAGTGCAGGTAAGCTGTATTTGAACTATAAAGCAGGTAGAGGAAGGCTCACACAAAAGGCAAGATTTTTTCATCTTGTTCCTAAAGCCTTGACAATTGGCTCTTCTAGAAGCTTGAATGCATTCTTCAAATGCCTCATAGTAAGTCTTATAAAGAGCAGTGGTAGATGGTTACTTCCTTAACCCTTGGGAATTATATGAGTGAAAGAGTCTTAACTTGTTTGGCATGTTTATCAGTTTTGTTCAAATTCTGTTGTTTGAAATTGCCAGTTGCAGAGCTGTCAGTTACACAAAAACTTACATTTTCTTTTGAAAATATAATTGCCATTTGTTAATGCTGTAGTGAGAAATTGGGGGTCTTTGATAGACTCAGCAGAACTAAAAGTATAGTAAGGCTTGTATAGGTGGTTTTTTTTAGAGTCACTGTACAAAATAAAAGATGAAGATGAAGCTCTTTTTCTTGACATTTGTACCTGTTGCAGCCAGTAGCATTATTAACACACTTTAGTGTTATACTGGCCATGGGAATTTTTAAAGCAAGAACCCAAGTTTCCTGCTGGGAAAAGAGAAACACTGCTCAGTTATTTGCAGCTTTGAGGGGTGTGTGTGTATTTTAATACCTCTCCAAAGAGATACAGATTATTTTATATAAAAGGAAAGGGTTCTTTACTCTGTACTGGTTTTATTAGTACCATTAATGTTTGAGTAAATGCCATTTGTTTTGTTAACATATTTGGCAAATGTATTTGTTGGTGGTAGGCATGAGGAACCTTATATTACTGGTGGCCTCTTTGCAAATAAACCGTCTTCAGTGTGTTTCTTTTGCAGGATTGGGGGCGGGAAAGGGAGAAATAAAAATATAATAGTTCCATTTTAAGATTAGTAGGGGGAGAAACAGAAAAAACATGGTAGAAATTAAGAAAAGGACAGGAGCAGAAAGATAGGATCTGCAGAAAGGTAAGGGAAAACCTAAATGAACTATTAAACAGGGCTCAGTGCTTCAGGGATAGATCCCAGCATTTCCTGCCTACTCTGCCTCTATTCTCTAGAACTGCCTCCCAGCACAGTTCAGACTAGAAATAAAATCTCCTCCTGATCCCTCATTCCTCTTACAATCTGCCGATAGGTGAATAAAGAGCCTGATAGCAGTCAGTGGATCACCACCCTCTGTACCTCATTCTAAGTCTTCAGTAAAAGTTGTCTGTTTTCCCTGCTTTTATTCTTTTTTTTTTTTTTTTTTTTTACTTTTTTTTTTAATTCTTGTTTAAAATTTTACATGTCTCCTTTTTTTCTGGTTGGCACCCCCCCACCCCCCTTTTATTCATCTTGAGGCAGTGCCTGGGGCATCCACTTCTTTTGCTCCATGTGCAGAAGTCAGGGCCTGTCCTTTAGAAAGAATCCTATCAATTCTGAAGGGTGGTAAGGTGCAAGGTGGAGGGTGAATACCTCACTGGTACCCTTAAGGCTGCCCAGATGAAATTAAACTGAAGGCCAAAGTGGGTCATGATTAATTTATAGTTTATGTGTGTTACTTAATGAATTAGAGTAATTCATAAAGGGCCCTGGAACCTATAACAGGCAACTTAAGATCAGAGGCAAGTTTTTAACCTGTTGGCTTTGGGTGTTTCATTTGTAAAACAAATGAGCTCTCAGGTCCTTTCCGTATTTAATATTTTTATGATTTTGTGAGGGCAAAATAATTATATGAATAAAATGAAGCCATGTATCTTTTATTGGCAATTAAATCACCTACTTTGATTTTCCTCTTTTTAATTTAGGGGAATTTAAGTATCTTCAAGTTTATTTTATTTTTATATATATTTTATTAATTTTTTTTTTTTTTTTTTTTTTTTTTTTTTTTTTTTTTTTTTTTACAGAGAGGAAGTGAGAGGGACAGAGTTAGAAATATTAATGAGAGAGAATCATTGATCAGCTGCCTCTTGCACACCCCTACTGGGGATGTGCCCTTGACCGGAATCAACCCCAGGACCTTTCAGTCTGCAGGCTCTATCCATTGAGCCAAACCGGTTTGGGCTCAACGTTTATTTTTTTGACATAGTGGTGTTTAAAATACTTTCCTAGAGTAGATGCTTCTTTCTGACACGTTTGAGTTTCAGATTATTATAATTTTGCTTCTGTTGGTCACAGGTAAAATCCCAGACAGAACTAAGAAAGACTCCAGTGTCTGAAGCCAGGAAAACACCTGTAACTCAAACCCCAAGTCAAGCAAGTAATTCCCAGTTCATCCCCATTCACCACCCTGGAGCCTTCCCACCTCTTCCTAGCCGGCCAGGTAAATATGTTTTGTAATTTCTTCTACTTATTAGCTCTGTGTAGGAGTTTCTACTCATTCATTGAGTAATCATACTCTATTGGAGTAATATTACTAACTATAGTATTAAAAGGTAGGAGGAAAAGAGGGTAAAGTGGGAGACATCTGTAATACTATCAACAACAAAACAATACACACACACACACACACACACACATATATACACACACACACTTTTTTTTAAGGTAGAAGGAAGTTATGTTTTCCCTAATGCTTATGAAATTATTTTAGAGCCATTTCTCTGATACTTTATATACAAGGGCAGGTTTTATATGAAGGAATTCCTGTCACTAAGCATGATGTTTAGAACATTCCACTTGCTTAAATGGATAGGAGTAGCAGTCAGTAGTCTATATTTAATTTTTGAATTGACATTAACCTGTTAACCGCAGAGTTCCCTTTTTAAAGACGCAACCTGTAACGGGCGCGTACTCTTTCACTAGGACGTGTCAGTACGTCACGCCCGGAGGATGTAATTTCATATTATTTTTTTATTTATTTATACTTAATGAAAACAAATGAAATTATATATATATATATATATATATATATATATATATATATATATATATATATTATAAAGCACAAAGGAAAATACAAAATTACAAAAAAATAGAAAAGAATACCGACAAAAAAAAAAATGGACACGTCGAATTAAAAAATTATAAATTTTACAAACAATGATAAAGATTACAAAAAAATAGCCGAAACCGGTTTGGCTCAGTGGATAGAGCGTCGGCCTTCGGGCCTAAAGGTCCCGGGTTCGATTCCGGTCAAGGGCATGTACCTTGGTTGCCGGCACATCCCCAGTAGGGGGTGTGCAAGAGGCAGCTGATCGATGTTTCTCTCTCATCTTATCGATATTTCTAACTATCCCTCCCGTTTCCTTCTTCTCTGTAAAAATCAATAAAATATTGAAAAAAAAAATTACAAAAAATATATTCCGTCCCTCTCGGGGCGCAACATATATTTCAAGGACGTATTCATACGTCCTACCCGTTCCCGATATTGTTTACGTTTGACGTATTTATAGGTCCCGCTCGGTTAACAGGTTAAAGATTTTCATTTTATCAGTCTTGACAGTTGACCCCTATCTTTTATAACTTATGAGAAGACTCCTTTCCCACCTTATTCCAACCCAAATGACTTATTTTTGCTCTCTCCTCTCCTCCCCCGCCCCTCAACTAAAGCTGTGTTCTTTTGTTTTAAAGGGTTCCCGCCCCCATATGTTATTCCCCCTCCTGTGGCATTTCCTATGGGCTCAAGTTACACCTTCCCAGCTGGTGTTTCTGTCCCAGGAACCTTTCTTCAGCCTACAGCTCACTCTCCAGCAGGAAACCAGGTGCAAGCTGGGAAACAGTCCCACATTCCTTACAGCCAGCAACGGCCCTCTGGACCAGGGCCAATGAACCAGGGACCTCAACAACCACAGCCACCTTCCCAGCAACCCCTTACATCTCTACCAGCTCAGCCAACAGCACAGTCTACAAGCCAGTTGCAGGTTCAAGCTCTAGCTCAGCAACAGCAATCCCCTACAAAAGCCGTACCAGCTTTGGGGAAAAGCCCTCCTCACCACTCTGGGTTCCAGCAGGTAGGTGACATTGTACCGTCCAGCTGAACTTAAGAGGGGGAAGGCTGAGGTTAGTCAATATTCAGTTAATTGAAAATACTACTTACGCATTCATTTACCTCTTAAACTTATAATGATGATGAGAATATAAAAGTATCCTTTTGCTGATTAGGAAAGTGTAAATGTTTTCCTTTACACTTTTGTAAAGGATAGTAGATACTATTCTTTGCTGCTGCTACTTGTTAAGTTTTTTGGAAAGTATTTTCTAGAAATAATTGTTTCCGTGTGAACATAAACTATAGAAGGGAAGTAGAATCTTATTCTTGATGAGATGTTAAGAAAGCTGTGATAACAACCTTAAATATTGTCATCCACATAGCACTTGAAACCGGAGGGAGACACACACACTCACTAAACCTCTTAAAAAATTGAATTGAAAGAGAGACTATGAGTTCAGTGTCCATAATTTGTACCCAGATAGCTCTCTTATTGAAAAACTTGAAAGGTAAAGGAAACCGCTGCATTGCCAAGTGGTGTTGATTGTAAAACCCCCAAGTGCATTCTTTGATTCCTGAGTACTGAGTGTCAGGAACATTACGTTTCATTCTCATCCTGATGACAGGCTTTTCTCTTTCAGTATCAGCAGGCAGATGCCTCCAAACAGCTGTGGAATCCTCCTCAGGTTCAAGGCCCATTAGGGAAAATCATGCCTGTGAAACAGCCCTACTACCTTCAGACCCAAGATCCCATAAAGCTGTTTGAGCCGTCATTGCAATCTCCTGTAATGCAGCAGCAGCCTCTAGAGAAAAAAATGAAGCCTTTTCCCATGGAGCCATATAACCACAATCACTCAGAAGTCAAGGTCCCAGAATTCTACTGGGACTCTTCCTACAGCGTGGCTGATAATAGAGCTGTGATGGCTCAGCAAGCAAATATGGACCGCAGGGGCAAGCGGCCACCAGGAGTCTTCCGTCCAGAGCAGGATCCTGTGCCCAGGATGCCATTTGAGGTGTGTGTCCTTTCCCATCACAGGCACTTGAGAGAGAGGTCTGGGGCTGCAAATCTTTTAAATTTCCCAGTAGCAGTTTCTAAAGGTCACTGGTTCATTAGTGCCACAGAATGCTACTGAGCAGTGGGCACAGTGCCTGGACTCCTTCACAGTTGCACAGTATGTTGGATTTGAGGAGCTGAAGGATCTTGTTACTGAGTTTAAACTTGATAGTCTGGCAAAGATGTCATGTGCGGTACTCTCTAACCTACATGTTTGAGATTCGGAGACAGCTCTCTGCGTTGAGCTGAATCATCTAAGTTTAAAAATAGTTCACTGCACATTTAAACGAACTGCTTTCTGAGAGGAATAGTCAGCCAGTTATCTTTAATAGTGGAGTTCCCCTTCCTTGCCCTTCCTATTCCTGAGACACAGGGATGTGTTTCTAACTTGGTCGTTAGCACAAGGTAAGTTAGTCACTTGGCTCCATTGCAGTTTGACTCACGAGCCACTTTTACCTTTTATGTTCTCTGTCAGTTTTTGCTTTTTTGTATTGTCTTGATCTTTCTTGCTCACTCTGTGCCAATTTGCTTTTGTGTTTCAAAGCCTTTTCCTTTGCATAATCTTGCTTCACTATTAATGACTTCATCCCCTAATCATGCCACTGCTCCTTTGTGCTTTTCACATCCCTATTGCCTCTCACTGTGCTCCTTTCTGTCACTAGGACCCCAAGGGCTCCCCTCTGCTTCCTCCGGACCTGTTAAAGAGTCTGGCTGCCTTGGAGGAAGAGGAAGAGCTGATTTTTTCTAACCCTCCTGATCTTTACCCAGCTCTGCTGGGGCCTCTCGCCTCTCTCCCAGGAAGAAGCCTCTTTGTATGTATTTAACCTCATTCTTGCTCTAACCCCAGCTGCTTTTCTGAGATTTTAGAATAGGTGATTTCCTCTTTTGAGGGGCACTTCTTTTTTATAGAATTGTAAAGTTTATTTCCCAAACAGCCCAAACTGGCCTTCACATGGTAGTAGAACATGACAAAATGTTTCTGACAGCCTGGTTTCTCCAGACCTTACAGTTGTGACTTTGTTAAGATTATCCTGAGGGCTGGGCACACAGGTTGTGATGCTGGCAATTTAACTTAATTCTCCAGTGGCACTTCCATCCAGACCCAGGAATGTCCAGTGTTGTTAATCTTATTTATAATCATGAGATTTTTTTTTTCTCATGCACTCAAAATAGGAAGTGAAATATGTTCTAGACGGTTTACTGATGCTTTTGATTTCTATGTGACTCTTCTGTTTGGTTAACTAAGTGCTATATAAACAAAATGGCTAAAAAGAAGCGTCAGAGTGCCATAAAAGAATGACAACAGCAATAAACAACTATAATGACATAAAGTGTGAGACTTCATTAGTTGTATCTTTTTAAGAAATCTTCTATATCCCATTCTGCGTTTCAGAGGATACCATGCTGTACTTGTGCCAGTGTTTACATTATATTTACTGAGATGGGGAAGTAAAAGAAAAATGTGCACTATGGTCGTTTTTTTTTCTGTCCTTCACCCCATCTTAATAAAATGTGAAACAGTTCTGAGATTTATTTTCTTCCCCATAGACACTGGGCAAGAAAATATAAAATTAAAAGGCGTTGATTTTCGTATTAGGAGAAATAAAAGCTTAATGGCACTGGTGACAAGCTGCCATCCCTGGCACTTGAAGTTCCCTTAAGAATTTGGCTTGGTGAGTGGCCATAGAAAGTTCCCATCCTCTCCCCTCCCCCTAAGTTAGGAGAAATAAAATATTCTAAAAACTGGAACAGTGATGCCTTGGCTGTGCCTAGAGGAGTGGAAACCCCAGTTGCTGACCTACTGTCGCTACATGTCGCCTTGCTGCTTTTCATGGGTGGCTGGAGGGTTCGGGGGAGTGTCTCCCTCTCTGTCCACCTGCTTCCTGATCCCTTGTTCCTATTGCCCTTGCTCCTTCCATAGGAAATGAAGCTCATGGAGCAGTTGGGGAGAGGCATATATTGGTGTTTGTTACATGTTTTTAAAGAAAAACCTTGTCTATAACCCTTTCTGTATTTAACATTGTTAATGATATCATGTTTGTGAAAGTGACTTGTGTGTAATAGGTGGTTAATAAATGCACGTTGACCAACTATTCAATGACAGCAAGCATCAGAGATTCAGCTTTTTCCCTCAGTGACTTGACTTTAGCAACTATGTATTTCAGTACAGGGTGGGATAAAAGTAGTTTTACAGTTGTTTGTATGGAAAATAATACAATAATCCTATCTAATAAAGAGGGAATATGCTAATTGACCACCATACCATCACAGAATGGCGACATCCACAGTTAATAAAGAGGGAATATGTTAGTTGACTACCATACCTTCATAAAATGGCAGTGCCCAGTCCCCTCAACCCCACCTCATCCAGCCTCATTCCCCTCAGCTCTTCATGGAAGGGCAGTTGGAAGTGATCAGGCGGGGAGGGGAGGGCAGGCCAGCAACAACCTAAGACTGGCATGGGTGGGCAGGGCTGCAAGCAAGGCAATTTTGCGCTCTGGGCTTCTAGTTAATAAATATTAATATAAGAATATTACACTCACTGCTGTAAACCTACCTTTGTCAACTGTAGATAAAGGTGCATAGGTACCATGTTCACAAAACCCATTGTCAAATGGATTTGAAAGGCTTTTCTTCAGTCTTTAATGTCAGTGTTTTTAAAAACTTGCCAGGTCAATTCAGCATTTTGTCTTGAGAGTATTCCAGGGTTACTGGTCTCTGCCAGGATCTCCATGCTGGGTTAAGAGGGCCTGATTGAGGAGGAGGATCTGTAACTCCCCATGGTCACTGGCACTGAGCAGGCATCATGGCCTTTAACAAATTCACACTCAAATCTTATGAGCCTCATGCTGTACACTACAGTGGGTACAAGTGCGCTTACATTATGGTCTTATACTTGAGCTGTATAGTCTTAAAATTAATATTAAAGAAGGCAAGGCATAATCTAACTATCATTTTTTTTTCCGGGTCTGTGAAGAAATCCTTATTGGAGAAGCCCTCTGAGCTTATGTCACATTCACCCTCTTTCCTGTCCCTCACCGGATTCTCTCTCAATCAGGTAAGGAAACAGTGAAGAATCCTGCTTTATGTTGTCATTGTGGGCTCCCGTGTTCTTTCCCATCTTATTTCAGTATGTCTGCGTTTCTCGCATATATCGGCTCCTTTTGGATTCTTTATTTTATCCCCTCTCTCTCTGATTGGGTACACTAGAGACTTGTATGTTATAGGTTTGAATCCTTTAACTTCTCAATATTGAAATCCTTAGGCTTTGTTTCGCCTAATTATTCATACTTTTTAACATTGTGGTTTACGTTGTAGAGCAAAAGTGTGGGGGAAAGCAAAGGGAAATTAACAGGAAAGCTGAAAGAAACAAATAAAAGCCTCCAAAAGTTTGCCTTAAGAAAAGTTGGTGTCCCAATCATCTGTGAACCTGAACGTGCATTTTCTAAATACTTTTCCTTTTTTGACTTGCTTCTGTAACTTGTCATTTCTTTCAGGAAAGATACCCAAACAACAGTGTGTTCAATGAGGTATATGGGAAAAACCTGGCAACCAGCTCCAAAGCAGAACTCAATCCCGCAATGGCCCCCCAGGAAACATCCCTGTACTCCCTGTTTGAAGGGACTCCATGGTCCCCATCACTTCCTGCCAGTTCAGGTATTAACTAGTCTTCAGCACGTGGTAGACCTTGCATTACCAGTAAACTCAAATTGATTAAGAGTTAGAATGATTTTATCATAAATATATTGTGTTGATTTTTTTTTTTCCCCTAGGTAACTTCTGAAAGAAAATAGAGAAAATACCTGATGAGCTAGTTTACATAGCAAAAAAAACCACAAAAAAAAAAATGAGCTAGTTTACATTTAAAAAGCTTTTTCAGCCCCTCCAGTGTGGCCCAGTGGTTGAGCATTGGAGGTCAAGGTTCAGTTCCCTGTCAGGGCTCATGCCCAGGTTGTGGGCTCAATTCCCAGTACAGGGCATGCAGGAGGCAGCGGATCAATGAGTCCTTCATCATTGATGTTTCTATCTCTCTCCCTCTCCATTCCTCTCCCAATAAGAGTGTGCCTGCATGTGTGCGTGTGTGTGCGCGTGCGCGTGCGCAATTTTTTTTTAAAGGTTTTTTTTTCATATTCTCAGTAACCAGCAAAACAGAGTTGTATGGGAGAAAAACAGCTCTAAAGGATGTCAGCTGTTTTTTACTTTTGTTTATAGACATACATTCTTTGCAGGAAAAACTGAAACTTTTAAAAGAGAGGATTTTTTTTTTTAATGCCTATTTTAGAAATGGAATCTGATTTAATAGTAACTCTTAAAGTTAGGCAGTATTATTTCTCATGTGGAAGACCAATGGGTACTTATCTGAAACAAGTGTGATGCATTAGTGGGTGCATTTGACAGAATCATCTCCTGCTTTGTTTCATTCTGTTTTGTTCTAGAGCAAGGAATGTGCCTCGGTATTTATGTTTAGTGAAACAGATTGCTACATCTTGCAGAGTCCTTTTGGGGGCCCTTATTTTGCCTTTCCTCCAAAAACCTCTAATTACTTTTAATGGAATTTAAGTGACCAGATCTACAGGAAACTAGTTCTTGGCATGTTTGTGAAACAGCTTATCTATTGAATATTCTCTTTTGCTATTATTTAATAGATCATTCAACACCAGCCAGCCAGTCTCCTCATTCCTCTAACCCAAGCAGCCTGCCAAGCTCCCCTCCAACACACAACCATAATTCTGTTCCATTCTCCAATTTTGGACCTATTGGGGCTCCAGATAACAGGGATAGGAGAGCTGCAGATCGGTGGAAAACTGATAAGCCAGGTGAGACCCAAACTTGACAAAATTAAAATAACTTAACTCTGTCTTTCCCTGGTTTTCTGCATTTGGCAGTGATAAAACGTTTTTTTGAATTCTTATTTCTTTTCATCCCTTAGCCATGGGTGGGTTTGGCATTGATTATCTCTCAGCAACATCATCCTCTGAGAGCAGCTGGCAGCAGACCAGCACTCCAGGTGGCACCTGGACAGGCCACGGCCCCTCTGTGGAGGATTCCTCTGCTGTCCTCATGGAGAGCCTGAAGGTGAGTGGATTTCAGGACTAAGAACCACAACCAATGGTGCTGGTTTCTGGAAACATGGCCTGCCTTATGAGGTTCTTGAATGGGCTTTTTGTTTTTAATTTGTGAATTCACTAGTGACAAAGCATTATCTTCAGGGGTAGAAACACAAAACTCCTAATTGCATTCTAAGTTTAAGAACGTTCTGATTCATTTTGGAATGTTTGATTTAAGCCTGAACAAATAAAAGAATAGCACCTAACAGTAAAATACTCTGTGGTCACACATGGAACTTAGTTTAGTAAAAGACTTCATCTCAAATGTACTTGCACCTTTTTTGGTCTAAAACAATCTTAGCAGGAGCTATCTTAAAGACAGTCTATTCTAATAGCTGCATTTTTTTAGGCGGTGGGGATCTTGGGACATTGTGCCTTTATGTTTGGTTGGGATTGAAAACATGTCCTTTCAGACAACCAGGCCTGTGAGCTCTGCTGACAAGCTCTGGGCTGTCTTTCAGTCCATCTGGTCCAGTTCCATGATGCACCCTGGCCCGTCCGCTCTGGAGCAGCTGTTGATGCAGCAGAAACAGAAGCAGCAGCGGGGACAAGGCACCATGAACCCTCCACACTGAGGATGGGGTGGCAACCTGGCAACGAGGCTCCATACACCATGGCATGTTGGGTTTGCAGGACTGGCCCAAGCCCCTGCAGGTGGCAGCCCTCTTCTCTGTGTCTTGCCGTTGAGAGGGTGTAAGTGTTCCACCGGCCCGCTGAGTGTGCACGAAATGTCCGCAGTGCAACCAAAAGAAACCGTCAGGAACTCTCCGTCCCCCCGGACCTCCGGAGGGAGAGAGGAACTGCTGTTTGTCTCACTCAGTTACCTGATAGCACCGCCTCTCGCCTTCTCCATCGTGCATGTCCCCAGCCACATGGGAAGTGAAAGCTGAGAAGGGAAGGCAGGTGGGAGAAGCCAGAGGGAACTTCTCAGTCCTTTTTCCCTCTTTGGGGAATAAAATAGGAATCCATTAATGATTGCTTTGCTGACTGAGAATGTAGTTGAGATTATTCCTAAACATCTTTTATTATTGTTATATTCTCAGTAGTGAAAAGTCACACTGAATTCTTCCATACACAGATGTGCTGCTTTGGGTCAGTGGGCAGCAGGGAAAGTCCCGTTCACTGCTCCTTGAGAGGTCGGTGGTAACAGGAGGGGGAGGCGGGCCTCTGCGGCCAGTGGCAGTGTTCCATGGGGAGAGGACAAGGCCTCGCCTTCGCTCAGAAGGTTCCGGTAGGCCCTCTCTGGCCCGGAGACTCCAGCAGGAAATGCCCTTCACTCTGTAGGTGCTCGAGCCCCACTCGAGGGTGCAGTGTGGGTGGTGCTGGGCTGGACCAGCAGGTGGCTGCTCTAGGGTTTAAATGGACGTTTTTGATTCCTGTACATTTTGCAGTAGCAGAGCAAGCAGTCTCCCAGAAGGCGGGCTAGTCCATTCGTGGCCTGGTGTTACTAGGTAGAAGCTTTCAGTGTGGTTATTTTTTGTTTGGTTGGTTTTTGTGCCCTTATCCTATTTACTCCCTCCACTCCCTCCCATTCCTTTCTCCGTCCTTTTTCTACCCTATGCTATATGCTAGTCATTGTTTTTATTCCTAATGTGTACAACATCGAAACAAGAAGCAACAGCATTGGGTCCAGCAGCTGGGGCCCAAAAAGACAGTCTGAAGAGGACGGAGTGGCGTGGCTGTGTAGCCCAGTGGGGCCAGGCCCCCCACCAGCTGCAATCCCCCAGCCTCCACCTTCAGAGTGAAACTCGAGGCAACATGGACACATGTGCATCATGCACAGAAGAAAACACAACGAAGTCCATTCTGGAAGAGGTGGAAGAAAGGAAAATGCGCTTTTATTTGATATTTATTAGAAGGAACGAGGACTGAAAATTTTCTTGGGTAGAAACAAAAGGACAGCATTTCTGTTAGTCGTTTCCTGGAAAAGTAATATTTTAAGGGGAAATTATGGAAACAATCTAAATGTCCGATTGCTGTGCTAGTGTTAGGGTTTATTTTCCAGGAGGTCTCTTCTTTGTGCACGTGTGAGTGTGCACGCACACGCCCACCTGCTCTCGGAGGGGTGGTGGTGTGTGGTTAGTGTGGAACTTCAGAGTTGGAAGGTGGCTACAGAGCAAAGCACATCCGGAGCCCGGCGTCAGTGGAGTCTGGGCAGCCCCAGCAGTGAAAGGGGCAGGGCATAAGGCTCATTGCTCTTCAGAGAGAGTGGTTGGAGTCTGTGTGCTTACATTATTGCTCTCTCAGTTTGACACGGTGTTTGGGTTTTTTGTTTTTGTTTTTTTCTTTTCTTTTTTTAGAAGGTCTGGAAGGGTGAAGTTCCCCCTCCCCCAATCCAAGGGCAATATGAAACCCTTTGTGCTTCTCATGCCCCTTCCTGTGTCCACTTTTTCCTGCCCCTCCCTCCCAAGTCTCCTCCCTGCTGCCTTTCCCTACTTTGTGTGTTTGAGCCCCACATTCAGGCAGCTGCAACATTCCAGTGTGTGAATTGTCACCCATTCTGGCACCCTAGACCAGTTCATCAGGTTCACTGTCGCTCCCAGGAGCGCCCACGTCCCCTCTGCAGCCCCATTTCTGCATGAGCATTTGGTGTTTGGAATGTTTTCTGATACTTGGGCGGGTTCCTCGCCTTATCCTCCATGTGGAGTAATAAGGAGGGAGAGGAGAATCTTCATCAGAAACTGGTTTTGTGTAATAAACCTTCTTTTGTGTTTTGTTTTGTTTTGATTTTTTTGTTTTTGTTTAGGTCTGTCTGTGCAAGACCTGCAGCTGCTAAAATCAGCTTTGCCTTTAATTAAACCATGTTCTCTCCAACCAGATCTGTGTACAGATGGTTTCTTTTCTACCCTAAAATCAAGACTTGGGAACTACTTGGAAGTCACCTAGAGGAAAGCAGAGGTGGTTAGAAATTGGATATACTTCAGGGTTACTTTTGCTTTTAGTAGCTTTCCAAACCAGCCTGCATTAGTATGAAAAGGGGTGGGTAGAACTATCAAATTATTTTATTTAATAAACTAGAGGCTCCGTGTACTAATCTGGGACCCCTCCCTTGCAGGCCTGTTTCCTCCCAACTACCCTCCCTTGCTGGCCATCTTGTGTCCATATGGGGACAGGATCTTTGATCACATGGGGGCAGCCATCTTGTGTGTTGGAGTGATGGTCAATCTGCATATTCTTTTATTAGATAGGATAGAGGCCTGGTGCATGGGTGGGGGTCAGTTGGTTCGCCCTGAAGGGTGTTCTAAATCAGGGTGGGGGCTCCCTTCGGGCGTGGGGCGGACTGAGCAAGGGGCCTATGGTGTTTTGCAGGCCAACCACACCCAGCGACCCAAGGGGAGGCCCTGGTATCTGGGGTTTGTTTTATCTTATACAATTGACACTAGCCTGGAGCGGACCAAGCCTCCTGCTCTCTGGCCACAGCCATCTTGGCTGGGGTTAATTTGCATACTCGCTCTTAAGTGGCTGGTGGGTTTAGAGGAGTGATGGTTAATTTGCATATTACTCTTTTAGATAGGATAAAGAATCCTTTTTCAAAGGAGTTAACACATCCACCAGTTTTATCCTTAGTTTCTCTGTTAGTGAGGCAATTCAGAGAAAGCTTATCATTTGGGCCTATAAAATTCACTAAATCTGGATTGGCAGCAACAGTAATTAATAATTATTCTTAGCTTTGGGGTTGCATTTCTTCAAGTTGTATCCAAAATGTCCATTGGCAGCCTGCTGGACCTTCCGCCTAGGTGTTGATTCTGTCTGTACCTCACCTACACACCTGAAAAATTATTAACAGGGCCTTATACTCACAAGAAGAAAGAAGTGGATTAAGGCCAGGCCTAGTATCTCTGGAATCCTTCATCCAAGTTAACCCTGAAAAGCAGGCCACTGGGTTACATGATAACCAAGGTAAGGCCACAGCAATTCTATTGTACGGACTGTGAAATGTTAACGAATAGGATGCTGTTAACCAATTGACTGCCTGAACACGGCTTTTTCTTAAGTCTTAGTGGCAAAATTTCCCATTAAGCTCTTGAGTGTTTGTGAGAAGATGTGAAGGGATGTAACGCTAGTCATTCCATGGGAACCTCACTCAGTCTAGCGACAAGACTTAAAAGTTAACTTTTGTGTGCGTGCCTCCTGAATTACCTGTAGGTTAGTCAGGCCCCAGTAGTCTGATGGTAAACAGGAATAGTTATTTACAGTTAGGCCTTAGGCCTGCATTCCGAGTGTCTTGGGTTTTTATTTCTATCACACATACAGAGAAGTGCACCAATAATAACTGCAACTAGGTGCGTTTTTCATAAAGTGAACACATCTGGGTAGCCAGTACTCTGAGCAAAGAAATCAGCACCTGGGATGCCACCTCATGCCCTTCCAGACACTTCCAACCTCCCCACCCCCTTCCACCAGGTGTTCATAATCTTAAATTCTCACATCATCTAACAGGTTACATGTTAACAGGGGAAAGTAGATTAGTTGACACTGTACCATGTACCACAGAGGCATCCGAAACCTTACAAATGCGATGGTAGTTTTTTCCTTCCACTCCGTAGTTGTGAGGCATCCTAGACTGCCCTGGGAGTGCTGTCCAGGTCTGCGGCTGCACGTTCTTTAACAAAAGCCTTGGGGAAAATGCCAAACTTCCCTTTGCACTCCCCTTCCAGCCACTCGTCGTTCACTGATGAAGGGAAAGCAGAGACCAATTTCTAAAACCAGTACAGGAAAAGGACCTCGCTTACTGCAGTTTAAGAAGCACTAAGAACACTTTACGTTTCCATTTTTAATGTGTTTGATTCCTTGCAGAATTAGGGAGGGACACAGTAATTCTGAATAGCTGCTAGTAAGACAAAATTGACCTCCTTCCACTCTCATCTTCGAAAGTACATACATCCAAAGAACTATGGTTTGCAGAAGATGGGCATCTTATGGCTTGGTGCAAAGCAAAATGATGCCCGCAACCTTCTAATCGGTTAACTGTGGGAACAATGACCTGTGGCTTCTGAAGCGTAGACATCTTTAAGTGTGAATGGACTGAGTGCCATTTACTAGTCAGTTGCCATTTTGTTGCTTCCCTGCCCCTTAGGGCAACAAACGGAAAAGCTGAGTGCTGGGTTTTGCTCTCTCCAGCTGAGGGCAAAGAAGGAGATTGATACCACTGGCTCAAGTTCCGTTTGTATGGTTAGTGATGTATTCTACCTCTGCCCCTAAATTGATTTCTGCTAACATGGAAATTAATTTCTATCATTCAGGAGTAGCACTTACCCTTGGACAGAACCTGGATTACGTCCCCTTCCAGAAACTCCAGGTCTTCTGGTTGGGTAGCCTCGTAACTGAAGATTGCTACCACTTGGCTCCCTTCCTTCAGCTGTGGTTCTGATGTCTGGCTATTAGCATCCGATTTCTCACTTTCCTTGGGTTCATCTGGAAAGCCTTGGTCACCCTGAAATAATAAAGGGCCTGTGAGTTTTCCTAAAACTTCCTGCGCAGTGAACATCATCCCTAAAATACTCAGCCAGAGAAATGTCAGTCGCACCTGGATACAAACTCAGCAGCAGATTTGGGATCAGTGTCTAGCATAGACCTAACGTACTCTATGAATACTGGCCGGTTGGATAAATGAAACAAGGTCTGCAGGACCACAGATAGTCGTAAAAATCTTACCTAAAACTCACAGTCATCCTGAAAAGGTAGAATAGGTACTATTCTTTTCAGATGGAGAAACAGGTCGAGTCACCAGTAAATGACTGCAAAGTCACACCTAGGTCTCTGAGTCCGACACCCTTTCCCCAGCACTCACAAGACGGGTCCTTGAAGAAATGCACATTTTCAGCTCCATCCCAAGCCTATTAGATCAGATGGGGCTCAGCCGTCTGTGTTCACAAGCCCTCTAGGTTTGGAACCACTGCACAGCACCATACTATGCAAGGCCAGGACCACTTTGGTCATCTTTGCCCCACGGTGTTGAGGGAAAGATACAGTTTCTTAGAGATGTGAGTCATAGGATTTAAGGAATCAGCATGAGAAAGTACAAGGCTCAGCACTGTGTTATGGTAGAAGGACTCGTTTTCTAGTGCTGTTGGCTCCAACCCTGGCAGTTCCTCTAAGTTGAAAGGCAGTACCATAAGGTAGAAATGGCCCAGGAGTCCAAAGACCAGGCTTGTACCCGAGTACCACTGCTTCCCAGCAGTGTAACCTCTCGACCTGTTTCCTTGCCTGAAATCAAGGCTAGAAGAATACATGAGGGCCTGCTAGATGTTGAATTGCTGCTGGGGATGGGGCCCACGACCTCAGTACCCGCAGGCTCACCGCACTCACCACTGTGTTCTCACACCACAGAGTCAGGCAGTAGTTTTTCACTTGGCCCCAGGCAGCCTTCATGTTGTCTTCGGACAGGGGCACTAGCTCATGGCTGTCCCTGGGCCGATAGCTGGGTGGAGACAATGGGGAAGAACCAAGTCAGAGGACAGCAGCGCAAAACCATCCTCTTCAGCCCTCTAGGCCAGCGCCAGGTCCCCAGCTGTCCCCTGCCTGCCACCTGCACGGAGCTCACCTCAGCTTCGTGTGTTCCGGCAGGAGCTCCAGTTTCTTAGACACCATGTCCCGCACCTGGCTGTAGGGGAATCCGGGCTGGGTCTCCATGACCACCGTGTACTTGTAGTGCACCTTGAGTGTGTAGGGCATGGGGACACTGAGCTTTATGTCCTGAGGGGAGAGGAAGCAGAGGGAACTCATGAGTGTGTCTGTGCTTCCTCTTAGCAACCTCCTGGCTCGCCGCAGCTTTCCTGGTAGCACAGGGAGCACTGTAGGTAGCCGGGAGAGGCCAACACGTAACTGGTTTCAATAAGTAATGTGAAGGATCTTAGCAGGTCTTCCAGCCCAGCTCTTGCTTGGACAGGAATTCCTACCTAGAGATCTGATGCACCCGCTATGGGCCAGCAGGAAATGTGTGCATGGGGATGAGGTGGGAGGTTGTTGAGGGGTCCCCAGGGCTGTGAGCATGGTGGCACTGGTCTGTCCTTTCTTTGGGACTATTTATATTATCCAGGGAGACATGCCCGTGGTGGACAGCTCACATGCTTCCATTCTCTACCTCTTGAAATAATACAAGGGAAAATGTTACCTTGGGCTCTTCTTTTTCTTTCTGACCTAAACGAAGAAGGTAAGGAGTGAAAAAAGAAGATGAGTGAACATTCTTGACCAGCTCCTTTCATACACAGAATGAAACCTCTTAGGGCACCGGACTGCATACCCTTTCATCTCTAAGGTAACTATTAACCTTATTGTGGGGGAAATCTGCCTCTGGGGAGCACATGAAGAGCAAAGCCATGAATGCACAAAGGAACCCAGTCTCTGCTTCCAGGAAGCTATGGGTAATTATCAAAGGACTGCCCATCCTCACCAACCCATGGGGTCATCAGAGTTGAGCTAGTGGGCTCCAAAGCAAAGACAAACCGGGACTGTGAGGTGAGCCAAGGGCCACATGAAGAAATGTTAGATAGAACCACTTTCACCTCATCCTTTATTTCTGTGTATGTTTTTAACGTGTATAATATATTGATACGGCAATGTGCATATCATTTATATATAAGAAGTATTTATAAATATGCTATAGGGGATTCATCATAATAATTTAAAAAAAAAATCATTGATCTCAACCAAGCTTGACTATTAAAATCACTTGGGAAGTTTTTTTGTAGAAATACAAATTCCTAAAGCTATTTCCAGGTCTAAAAAATCAGAATAAAGAAATCTAGGGATTTATACTGTTAAAATTTCCCTAGGTTAATAGGTGTTTCCCCATGAGCCCCTAGACAAAAAAAAAAAAAAAAGTTAGCAAGGATATTTTGGAGGATAATTGGAGTAATTGAATATGCAATATACATTTTATAAAATTAATGTTGAATGTCCTGGGTTTAACAATTGAATTGGGGTTGTGGAGAAGAATGTCCTTGCTCTTAGGAGATACATACTGAATTGTAGGGTGAAGTGTCATAACTCTGTAAGTGGCTCAGTCACTCAGGGGAAATATATATATATGTGTGTGTGTGTGTATAAAGAGAGGAGGGTGGGCAGGCAAGTACACAGTGCAAAGTGTTAGCATTTGGTGACTTTAGATGAAAGGTATTCTGGCATTTTTTGTACCATATTTTCAACTTTTCTGTGGTTTTGACATTTTTGTAAATAAAACAGGTGTGGGGAGCATCCAGAGATTCTGATGACCTTGTGGCCATGAGGATCACTGCATCTCCACCAAACACTCAGAATCTGCTTAAATTGCACTCCTGGCAGAAAGCAAGCCATTGCTCTCCACTCACTCAGCGGGAGGGCCTGCCCCTGGGTCCTTTATCCCCAGGGCTCTGCAGATTTCTGTTCCAGATAATGGAGCTCCTGAGACCTTTAAAAAGAACCATCCCCATCCCCTCTGACGTAAACATGCAGTTACCTCACCATGGTTTCAGTCCTGACCGAGGGGTTTGGATGGGACAATCATCTTGCCCCCCTATCCCCAACCAGCCCCATGGGTGTTGTGCAGCAGGCAGGGGAAAGGGGCCTCTCTATCCTGTGTGCTGGGAGGGTGGGTGGCTAGAGCAAGAGATGGGGGCTCTGGGGCTGAGTGGCCATGAGCTGAGTGGCTTGCTGAGAGGAAAAGAAACCAGAATTTCCTGCAAGCAGCTTGGAGGGTTCCTTTCCGCTCTGGATGTCCTCCGAGGACACTCACCTTGTGACAGCTGGGGTTTTCCTGGAGCACTGGAACTGGGCGGAGCTGGGATGTCAGACTCTGGGGAAGCGTCCTCCTGCTCGGGACAGGAAGAGATGGTGAGGATTTTCACCCCCACAAAGTTCTTAGGCCAGAGCAGGAGTAGGAGAGGAGCAGACCCGCAGGGAAGAGAGCCAGGTGCAAATGACTTCTAAAGGCTGTGCTGGTGATATAGAGGGGAGGGGAGAGGCGAAGGAAAGTGGTTTAAAAGGGGAGGCAGGGTGAACCTGGTGGAAACAAACCACAGGAGAAATAAGAATCCACATCTCCTCAAGGGCCTTGCTGCCTAAGCACTCTCATTTACAACGTTTCCAGTCATCTGGATGCCATGATTCCAACCCCGGAGGACCCAGCCACAGCGGACACCTGCTGCACTGCCAGCCATCTACACTCTGCTCAGGCCCCAGGAGAAGGGCAGGCCCTTGAGGGGCAGTGGAGGGGCTGGTGGTAGCTCTAGAGCATTGCTCTAAAGCAGGTCTCTCTTCCTCCCTCCCTCCTCCTGCCCCCCTCTCTGGCATTTCACCAAGCAACACTTTGGCTATTTTTCCAGGTGAAGAGGACATTTCTGGGAAGACCTAAGCTTCATATGTTGAGGGCATTGGGTCCCATGACCAGGAGGAATCACAAAGGTGGATGGGCCCAGTCAGTCCCAAAGAACTTCTGCTCTGGACGGCTGGTGCCACTCCAGGCGGGCTCAGGATCCATGCATCTTCCTTCGGTGACGGTGTCGTTTCCCACACTGCTCTTCCCCCTCCATGGGGAGGTCTGTCAGTGGGTGGGTTGTGGGGGGGATGGGTCAGGCCTCGGTGCCACTTACCTGGGGCTGCTGCTGAGGATGGATCCGCAGCTCCACGGGTTCCAGGAAGTTGCAGGGAACAAGCCCCTTCTGCAAAGAAGGTAGCAGGTGGGGGTACTCAGAAAGCTCTGCCGTTGGCTGCCAGGATTCCATACCCCCACCTGCCACCCCCAGGCCTCTGAATACCTGCCCGTTGAATATGACCGTAGCCCAGTTGTCGTTGCCCTTCTTCAAGACAAAGACGATGTTCCCGGGCTGAACCTGGAGCTCCTCCGAGGTCTCGGGCTCAAACCCGAACAGCACACGGTGAGCCTCCCCTTCCAGGGCCCTGCGGGGTAGACACGAGATCCCATCCACTCTCTGGCCTGGAGCGAGCACGTCCCCTCTGCTGTCGGTCAAGCTCAGTGGACCTGGAGCCGGGAGACTCCTCCAGACACCCTCTAACTCCACGTCCAACTGTCTGTGTGACCCCGAGCAGGCATGGCCCTCCCTGGGCCCCGAGAGGGCGCGGCAGGGAACTGGATGTGAACTCGCTGCACAGCCATCTATGCAGTGGGACAAGAATAAAAGAAAACCGCGTGGATCTAGAGGCCTTGTGGTTCTTGCCCTCCCTTCTCTGGGGAGGAAGGCTCCTGGTGTGCCTGGCCAGCTCCCGTGTCAGGGCCGGGGTGGCCCAGGTGAGTGTGCAAGGGAATGGCCCCGGTGGAAGGCAGGCAGAGAGGTCACCCGGAGCCAGTGTGGGGTCAGGCAGGCACACGGAAGGGGATGAGGGACCTGCAGGGGGAGCTGTGCGGAGGAGGGGGTGTGTGTGGGAGTACTGAGCCTGCCACGGCGAGCACCTCTCAGTCATGTCCTCCCTTCCCACTTAGCTCTCAGGGCGCTGGGCGCTTTGGCATGTGTGACCAAGAGGCGGCTTCAGGGGGCGATAGTTTCACGTTTCTCCGCTCCCTCCCTGCTGGCGCTGTCCCCTTGCCCTTCTTTTGTTCTGGCACTTGTGTCTGTTTACGCAGCGGACACAGACTCCTCCGCAGACAGTTAGGAAGGAGCTTGTCCAGGTCCCCATTTGTATAGTTGCTTTGGAACTTTTTTCACTCGATTTAAATCTCCTTTGGGTGGGGAGCCAGGCTGACCTCCTCACTGAGATGCCGTTCTTAAGAGAGCTGTGCCTTTCTTTGCTTTTCATCTTACAGGAGAATGACTTCTTTTTCTTGAGTCCATCCTCTTCTTCAGAAAACATGTGCCCACAGGGAGTGAAAACAGCCCTTCTGGCTTCCATTCCGCTTGCCCAACTCCAGAGCTCGGCCCCTGGCAGCCCTAGGCCAGTGTTTGCCCGCTGGGAGGGGGGCTGCATCCCATGGACACCACTGCCATTTGGCAACAAGCCCTCCCTATACAGTGGCTGTGCAATGGACGGGGACACAGGGACGCCACATAGCCAGCGGCCAGGCCCCAGCGTCCTCTCCACCCCCTCCGCTCCCATCAACCCAGGCGTGGGGCTTGGCTGTCTGCATGCTGAGCTAACCCTCACTTACCTGAAGATCTCGGGGGTTTTGGGTCTGGGGGGAGGCTCCGCTGCCTAGTGAACATCCAAGAGAGATGACGACGGGCAGGACCAGAAAGAAAGAGCAAGAACAGACTGTTAATGGTCAGTGGAGCCTTTTCACCCAGATCAGACCACCACAGACTGCATTTGTGGCTCCATCAGAACCCCGTCTCCGGAGAGGCACAGAGTGCCCTGACTGAGCCCTGGAAGGGGTTCACCGGCACAGCAGTTCCTCTGGGGCCAGATCTGTTCCTGGGAAGTGGGTCTGTCACAGGCAGCGTGGCGTCACGAGGATGCCTTTGACCTTGAGCTCTGCCCTTCGTTGGGACCGTTTCCAGAAGCTCTGTTCTATAATTAATGGCTGCTCTATCACATGACTCCCGTGGGTGTTTAAAATCGACTCCGGAGCCACCGGCCAGGCGAAGCTCCCCTTTCATCGTGCGTTTCCAGTTCTACACCGAGCACCGTGGAGTCGTCTGGCTGCTGGAAGCCCAAGGGAGGTTCCCACAAGGGAGTGTGAGGAAGATCCATGAATCTGGACTCTCTGTTCTCCTCTGCGCATCTCAGCCTCCGGGCCCCAGCACTGGTCCCGTTCTGCCAGCGTCACCAGACTGATCCTGGCAGGCCCAGCCGACACTGCCCTCGGAGGCCCGCCTGTCAGTGCTGACCAGCGCTCCTGCCCATCATGGGTCTCCCACAGCAGAGCCTGACTCCTGCTCGGCCTGTCTCCCCCTCCCCCTCACCAGGAAGCTCTGCCTTCGCATGGACCCCTTGCCATCCAGTCCATCGGGGACCACAGCCCTGAGCCCAGCTGGGGCGGAACATGGTTCACTGTGGGCACCCTCCCTGTGTTCCCGAGGGAACCCCCTGCACACAGGCCGATGGGTGCCGCCAGGAGAGCTCAGAGCCTCAGGCCCCAGCCCCCAGGAGGCCCCTACCAGCCCCTGTGCCTGCGAAGGGGACTCGTTCAAAGGCCTCCGTCAGCTTGCATTTCGGTTTTCTGGGAGGACAGTCGAAGCTTCAGCTCTCCTAGACCTTGAAAAGTGAAGACTGGCATCGGGGGCAAGCGGGAAGAATAGCTTCTTGAGGACTTGAGGCTGGTTAAGCCTCCAACTGCTTTACGCCCACCCGTCGTGGAGCCTGTGACAGGAATGGCCGCAGGACCCTCGGCACTGTGAGGCCAGCTGAAGGGGCCCTTGGAGTGAGGCAGCTCAGCGGAAACGCCCTCCCCGTGGGGAGCTCACAGAGCACTCTGGCACCTCAGTCCAACGAGCAGGAAGGAGCCTTACCTGCGGCTGCAGAGGGGCAAATCCCGAGAAACTGTCTTGATCCACCACAGATGCCACCACCTGGAATCGAGGAAGGGGGTGTGAGGGCTCTGCCAGCACTGTTTCCCTATCTGCCTATGGCCCCTGAGATCCCTTCTTTCCTCCCAGCCCAATGCATTCCCACTGGCTCCGTCTGCAAGACCAGCATCCTGTGAGTCACCCTGCGCTCCCCCTTCCCCCCTTTGCCAGGTCAGGTGGAAGGGAAGAACGAAAGGAGCCTGGAGACAATAACCTAGAAGCATCTTTCAGCAAGACCCCACGCTATAAACCATCTCTCCTTGCTATCCCAGGGCAGAACCATGTGGGGGGTCCCTTTCAGAGTCTCCCCCCATCTTGCCCCGCAGGGCCCAGGCCTCAGGAGATGCCAGGGAAGCTGAGAGCCACCTACCGTAGCCTTGCCCAGGTAATCCTTCTTCACCAGCTGGGCCACTTGCCTCTCATTGGGTCGGAAGAGCCTGCCCACGGGGATCACCACCGGCTCGTACAGCTTCTGCTTCTACAGAGCACAGTGTTTCCTCACCATGAAGCTCAGGGTACGAGGCTTGCCCGGCTCCCTCCCCGAGTGCGTGCAAGGCTACAGCGAGATAACCTGCAAAAGCGCTTCTCCTAAACGTGCAGGGATGGCGCTTGCTATTGTGTCAGGGTCTCAGGTACGTGTCACCTTTCGCTGAGGAACCGTGTGGAGCTGTTGGTGTTATTTGCCCTGCACCCTTTTCCTAGGGGAGCTGGCCCTCTCCCACGCGGTGGGACTTGGATGGGGCTGTTACTCTAGAGTGTAGGAGGCACCACCACGACCACCACCACCACCAGACTGGCTCGGAACAGTGCTCTCCTGGGACCAGTGACTGCTGACATGGGCATGTTTGTTATTACTTTTTGTTAATCCTCACCGAGGACATTTTTTCCCCCCACTGATTTTTATAGAGTGGAATGGAGGAGAGAAAGAGAGAGAGAGAAATATCGATGTGAGAGAGACACATCAACTGGTTGCCTCCTGCAGGTTCTGCGACCAGGGCCAGGGATTGAGCCTGAAACCGAGGTAGGTGCCCTTGACTGGAATGGAACCCATGACCATTCAGTGGCAGGCCCATGCTCTAACCTCTGAGGCAAACAGGTTAGGGCGGGCGGGTGTGCTAAGAGAGACCTGTGCCCTCTTGTTCCTGGAGTTTTAAAAATCTGATTTAAAAGGACCTTCATCCCAAATGTGCTCAGGCAAGCTACGGACAACTTTCAGCATTTGTTCACATCACCCATGCATTTTTGTTGAGAGCCATCTCATGGGCCTGGCACCGCACCAGGCTGCCAGGCCTCTGCTCTTGCTTGGCTCCAGCTCCCTGCTCCCCCTGTGTGCTGCCACGGAGCCCCACTTGGGGGCGGCCTAGACAGGACCCTGCTGTCCTATACTTCAGGCTTTGGCTTACAGTCACTTCCAGATTCAGAATCCTGGGTGGAGTTACACTCCCAGTGGAGCGTTCCCCAAAACACCGAGGAAATAAAAGCACCACGTCCATGGGTTCTCAAGCCACGTGCCCACTGGAACAGGCCCAGATCCAATGACATCCTCCCCGCACCCGCATCCCAGTGCGCTTACCCACACACACTCCATGGCTTTGTCAATTTTGGAATGTCTCGGCTCCGACTTCATGCTCATCGCCAGTGCTAAGTGTTCTTCGGCCTTTTTCCATTCCTCCTTCTTGGCATGCATGAAAGCAATGTTGTATAACACCTAGAAGAACACAGGCCACCCCATAAGACAGGCTGCTCCCAATTCAGGCACCAGGAGGGCTGGCATGATGCTCCTGGGACATTGCTTGGGGACCTTTCTCCCCCTCCCCGCTCACCTGGGAATGTCTGCAATAGACACCCATCTTGCCACAGACTCATTTCCGGCACACGAACGGTGTTGAGTGAACACCAGGCAATAGGTAAATCCAACATTGTGTACATTTTTTGACAGCCAAGCAGGTCAGGAGGAAACAACGATTGTGTTGCTTTAGGATCAAGAAGAGTGACAGGCTCGAGACCCCTTGGAGAGCTGGCTGAGCCTGGCCTGAGAGACTGGACAGGTACAGGGTGGGGAGGAAGAGGGTTCCAGATGCATTGTCCTGCTCCAGCCCCCTCAGACTCTGCCTGGGACACGGCACTAGCAAGACTGGCACAGCCGTATGGGAATGAGGAGGCGCATGGGCCACAGCTGGGAAGAGGCTCGGCCCAAGCCTAGGGCAGCGCCTCACCTGAGGGGGAGGGAGCAGCCCATTCACCAACAGCCAGACTTTGTCAGGACTTGGTTTGGGAGGTAGGTTTATGAGTTTGATTATTATGCTTCACAGCTTACACATAGAACCACATCTTTTAGATGCATCAGCAAGATAACCCCTCCCCCCCCCCCTCAAAAAAAAACAAACAAAAACCTACACACAAAAAAAACTAACAAACCCACTGCCACCAAACTCCCTCCCCAGGTTCTTTCTGCACCTCAGTGAGCAGTTGCCTCCTACATACACACTTGGCTGGCCCGGCCCTCCCTTGACCGTGTGTGCAGGAAGAAAGGAGAACTCCAGGCCCTTTAAAACCTCCTCTTTCATCTAAGCCCTCTTCCTTTTAGACCTTTTCCACACCGGGCTTTGATGACTCCATGACTGGATAAGGTTGGGCCTCCTTTTAAAAAGGATGGTGAGGTTTCTCAGAGCCAGGGTTATACCCTGGGAAAGGCAACGGGATTTATAATATAAGCAGGGAGGTGACTTGAGGGTCCCAGGTGGCAGAGGGGCCTACACCCGGCGTTTCCTGGCCAGGTCATCTCAATGCCAACTGCAGGAGGAGCTTCCTCCCATGGAGCCCTGCTTCCATGCCACTGTGTCATGGCCCTCTCTCTAGAGCAGCGGTCACCAACCGGTGGTCCGCGGGCCACTGGTGGTCCGTGAGGTACGAAAGGTTGGCAACCGCTGCTCCAGAGCAGTGTTTCCCAAACTTCTCTCATGATGAGAATCACCCGGTGGAGTTGTTAAACTACAGATTCCTGAATCCTAACTAAGAAGTGCTGAACTAGAATTTTTGGGAACATATTTGTAAAATTGTATACTTTTTAATATACTAAACTTAGAGCACTAGTTAAGTATACAATTTTACAAATATGTTCCCAAAAATTCTAGTTCAGCACTTCTTAGTTGGGATTCAGGAATCTGTAGTTTAACAACTCCACCGGGTGATTCTCATCATGAGAGAAGTTTGGGAAACACTGCTCTAGAGCTACTTGGTCCCCCAGCCCTTAAAGCTATATACGTGGTTCTCGCTCTGGGGTGATTGGCCACACGTAGTGATGTTTTCGGTTGTCACACTGGGGGTGGGGGACGATTGGCCACTAGTGAGTAGAGACCAGTGAGGCTGCTAAACATCCTACACTACACAGGACAGTCCCCTACAACCAAGAACGATCTGGCCCGACAGACCCATGGTTGAGAAACCCTATGGTAACAGCCGGTCAAATGGCAGGCAGTTCCCACCGCCAGGCGCCATTTCCCTGGCCTGGGAGAAGCCAAGGGAGCGGCAGCCCTGCGGTAGGGCTGGGTGTCCCCAGGGGCCTGGGCAGCTGCGGACGGACGCTATTCTTAGCCCCGGGCGACCCTGGAAACACTTGGCTTCTCCCGCTGGAGACACGAAAACAAGGAGACTTTCTTCAGAGATTCTTCTAAATAAAGATGTGTGACATTTGCAGGGATTGTAGTTTTCAAAAGCTAGTGGGGCATTTAAGATGTAAGGGTGGGTTGGAAAAAGTATGCCAACTTTTGAAATCCAAGTCCTGTTTCTCCCTTTTAGTGAGACGGAGATGAAGTTCTCCTTCTATGGAGAACTTTCCTAAATTGGTGCTCTGAGCCGTTCTTTGACCGAGAGGGAACCGACTTGTGTGAAAATATCCCCACATTCCCTTTGGGCATCCACCAAGTACATGAGGCCAGAACCATGAATAGCAAAGAGCGTGGCCTGTAACTCGGGAACTGAGCGAGGTCACGGCAGGTCCTGCATGGAAAGCGAACCAGGGATTTGGATGTCTCATGCTGGGTGAACAGCTTGCCCACCTGAGGGATGCAAATTACCATGGATGCTTTCACCAGCCCACACGCTCCTGCCCAGGCTGGGGGCCCTGCCTCCTCACCTCGCAGGCAAACAGCTTGAACTGCAGCCCCAGGATCTTGTAGTCTATCAGCTGGTTGCCCCGGAGCTGAGCCAAGGCCTCCTTCAGGTCTTTAATCGCAGAATCGTACCTGCAGGGCAGAGGGAGAAAACAGACCAGTCCCGGGCCCGGAGGAAAGACTACAGAATTAAATGTGTCTGCATCCCTTCCTCTGTCCGTCTCCCTGGGACAGAGCCTTTCTGTTCCTCCAGGTTTGTGCCAACACTGAGCCCTTGTTTTCTACAGAACTCAGGGTGCAGGTACCCTTCTCCCCTGAGGTTGACACAGGGACACCTCTCAGGCCCCTCTCACAGCCGCTGGCATCTTTCTCCTGCTCAGAGCCTTCCCCTTGGCTGCTTCTTCTTCTTTTTAAAAAAATATATATTTTATTGACTTTTTACAGAGAGGAAAGAAGAGATATAGTCAGAAATATCAACCAGCTGCCTCCTGCACACCCCACAAGGTACATGTGCCCGCAACCAAGGTACATGCCCCCAACCGGAATCGAATCTGAGACCCCTCAGTCCACAGGCCGATGCTCCATCCACTGAGCCAAACCGGTTTGGGCTCCTTGGCTTCTTTTGAGTCCAAGTTAGCTCTTGGTTTTGTGGTTGCTTAGTCTCCCCCACCCCCTCTTTGGAAAAGAGAAACCCCCTGGAGCAGAGAACATGTCTAACCCAGCTCTGCAGATCAAATGTACTTGCTTGGATGGGCCTAGTGCGGACCACTCAACGTGTCTCAGGGCTGCTGTGGTGCAATCGTGGCAGAGAATGGGGCTGGTCCCATCAGCAGTGCCCACGGTGGTGTAGCCGGGACCCGGGCCACATCTCCTCGGCCTGCCCCTGACCTCCCCGCCCTGGTGGGAGGGAGCTGTTGCTGACCTGTGGGGTGTGGGGTTGGGGAACAGGGGGGTTGGGGAACATGCTGCCCACACCCCCAGGCCCCGGGCCTAGAAGGAACAAAGCTGGCTGCGGGCTGTGGCTCCCATGAGGGAACTGAACCACAAGTTATGCCCTAGAGCGGCCATGTGTGGCTTTCTTGGAGGCGAGCCTGGGATTTGGCTCTGGTGGCGGGGGACCCGCAGGAGGTGGTGTGGTGTAAAGCCGCCCTTGGACAGCGGCCAGCAGACTGGGGCCAGACCCATCAGCTCTGCCACCGCCAACCAGGAGATTCTGGCAACTTACTGCCCTCGGGCTGCCGGTGCCCAGCATAAGGAGGGATTGTGTGCCAGCAGCATATTCCATTCAAGGAGCATAGAGAATGAGGAGCTTGCTGGTAGGTGGTCCCGGATCTCACTTCCCCAGAGTCAAAGCCACATGGACTTGACTCCTGGCTCTGCATCTTACTATCTAATGACAAAGGGCAAATTGTTTCATTTCTCCCAGCCTGTCTCCTCATCCTCAGAGCTCCAAAGCTCTGGCAGTTGAATTCACATGCCAGCCATTTCGTGTTTGCTTCGTTAACACCTAGACCAGTGCTCGGCAAACTCATGAGTCCACAGAGCCAAATATCAACAGTACAACGACTGACATTTCTTTGGAGAGCCGAATTTTTTAAAAACTTCTTTTAATGCCACTTCAAAATAGATGCACCCAGGCCGTGGTATTTTGTGGAAGAGCCACACTCAAGGGGCCAAAGAGCCGCATGTGGCTCGCGAGCTATGGTTTGCCGACCACGGACCTAGACTGTAGTAGTATCAGGAGGTAAAAACACACCGTTGCAGAAGCTGGAACTCTGACCTCAAGGAGCTGGAGCTGGCCAGGAGGGTGGCTGGCCGGAGGGTCCTAAGGAAGGTGGTTGGGAGAAGCTCTAACACACTCTTGTTTTGAAGAATGTAAAACCTATGAAAAGCGTGTAAGCCATTCTCCACTAAGCAGGAAGCATTTCAAGAATTTAACACGTCCTTTTGGGCTTCCTGTTCCTTCTTTCTAGGCTGGAAGATGGGTGACAGGCGCCAAGTCACTGAGCCACGGAGTAGGACCAGATGGGGTCCTGTCCCTCCAGTACATGCTGTTCCAGGTGTTCCCTGCCTGTGCCGAGGCGCCCGAGGTCCTCAGAGGGCACCCTCGGGCACTGTCAGCATTGGCCTGCAACGTGCTTCCTCCTGGCAAGAGCGCTGGCGAAGCAGATGGATTTCAGCTGGGAAGTGACACCGCCCGCCCGCCCGGGTAACCGGTATTGAATGACCCCCGCACATCCAGCTCATAATTCTCCAGCCCCTGGGCTGTCTTAAGATCTGGGCCCCAGGGAGGAAGAGGGAAAGAACCCACCCATCACTCAAAGCGCTTGTTAAAAACCAGGGAGAGGCGTCCTGCTGAAAGGTCTGTTTACCTTGAAAGCAGCATCCCACCGCCCCAGCAGGCCTCTGCTCCACCCCCAACTTGCTCCCCCACCTCCCCAGTAGGCCCTCAGCCTCAGAGCTCAACTACCCCTGCACTGAATCAGCTCAGTGTGAGGCCCCTAAACAGCGTGCAGCCCCCTTCCTCCCCCCGCCTCCAGCCGCCTCCAGTTCTCTTTGGTGCCACTTGGAATGCAAGTGTCCCTAGGAGGCCAAGGTGCTGGCAGCTTCTGCGGGTTCCCAGTGACACCCCGGCTGGGTGCCTTGGCTGTGTAGACCGAGCCCCCGCGCCCCCGGGCAGGGGCTCAGCCGCTAGGCAGGCTCGCCTTTCACAAGCTCTGAGCCTCGGGGGTTTGTGATCCTCGTTTCTGTAACACTCCCTGGGAAGGTTTCTTAGTAACTGCTGTGTTCCTGACTGTTCCCGTTCTCTCCGTGCCCCATGCCGTCTAGAGTCCAGGATAAAGGAGAGGCTTAGCCGCGGAAAAAAGTAAAAATGTCAAACACCTCTGGGATGGGCTGGAGGTCACAGTTTTCGGTGTCCAAGACTGACTGCAGGACGAAGATGGCTGCGTCCGCAACATCTAAAGGGCCTCACTCTTGCTGTCCTGGACCTTCAGGTTTGTAAGACCCAGGGCATGAGTGTAAAACCTATGAAAAGCGTGCAAGCCATTCCCTATGCATTTGAAGACCTTAACGTCCTTTTGGGCTTCCTGTTCCTTCTTTCTAGGCTGGAAGATGGGTGACAGGCGCCCTCCCCTTTCAGATGACAGGCTGGCCAGGACCATCCCTGAGACACACCCGCCTTCTCAGACATGCGCCCCAATGTTGTCCTGATGGCTGGGAAATTAATTTGGAAGTGGCTCTGTGGTAGGCAGACAGACAGACATGAGCAGGGCAAAGATGATGGGCCCGGAACAGAAGGTCACCAGCACTGAAAGCCCTGGGTGACTAGCAGAGGACAATTGGAGTATGGGACCCTGTCCCCAAGGTGACCGTTCCTCCCCTAGCCTATCGCTGGTCATGCGGTTTGAACCTCCAGACCTTTCCTCCCTAGAGATGACATCTAGGCCTCAGCTGTATTTCAACTCCAGGCCCAGAAAAGCAGCCAAACCAGACCAGGCACTCCACCGCTGACCTCTGACCTCTGGACCAGCTGCACTGAATAATGACCCCGTGCCCTGGAGCCCACCAATCAATCCCTGGAGGCTCAATCCTGAAAGGACACACCTGGAAAAGGGCTGGATATTCTGTAGAGATCTTCCCTGAGAACTTCCCTTAACGTCTCCACCCTTACAACCCCGGAAATGGAGTGTGCCCCTCCCGGAGTGTGCCCCTGCCCTTCCCTTTCTCCCAGGCGGGTCCCCTTGACCGTCCTCACTTCTAAGCTCCAAGGGCCCTTTCTTTAACTTGTTTCCTACGCCCGTTTTTTTCTACAGGTTACTTCTTACTTCTGTGATTTTCCGTATATTTAAGTCTGGGCTCTGAAATCTCTCCTAGCCAGAACTCAAGGACTGAGGTTGCTGATCCCAGGTCCCGCCTGACCTCACCGGCCTAACACCGGGTGCCATAGCCGTTCTCGCCGCCCCCAACAGTGACAGCAGTTCTGATGGAAAGTGAGGCCTAAGCCAGGGCAGTGCTGGTGGGAGGAGGAGAATGGGTGGATTTAAGAGGTCCACTTGACAAGGTGCAGGAGAGGAGCTATCCTGGGTTAATCTCGGGTGGAGATTGCATAGCCTCATGGCCCCAGAGGGAGGCCGATGCAATGGCGAAGGTGGGACCCCCCAGAGTTCGGGTATGGGTTTTCAGGCGACATTGATCCCCAGAAACTGCCGTGTGTGTGTGTGTGTGTGTGTGTGTGTGTGTGTGTGTGTGTGTTTCTGGGAAGATAACCCATAAGTTTGCCATTGAACAACCACTGCTGTCGTGATAAGAGGGAAAAGGGTCAAGAGCAGAGCCTTGGAGAGGACACGGAAGACTGTGGACTGCGCGAAAGAAAAGGAGGCGACTTGAGGTGAGAACAGCGCCTCGTTTATATTGTTTCCTCCATAGATGGCTGCTGAATTAAAGGTAACGTTTGGTAGATTTCTCTCTCAGATTTGACTAATATCAATCGCACGCTAACTAAATCCTGGGTCTTACTTTTAGATCTGAGATCTTTCTGACTCTCTCGGAATCCAAGCCTTTCCGACTCGGGGATTTCTGGGCATTTTCGTGTAGAAATTTCTCCTGGGAGCATTTCCCCTGGCCAGTGACTCTCCTCATTATAAGCTGCTAGAGCTAATGAAAGGAGGGCCTGCTAGTCTGTCTTTTAAGATTAAAGATTCCCTGGAGGGTTTGTGCTCAGGCTTCCCTGCATCTTCTGTCCGCCTCAATCCCAGGCTTTCTGTCTCCAGACGGACTCTGTGGGGTCTTTCTTTCGAGAAGACGCTACTTCCCTTGCTGAGTCAGATAACTGGCCACATCTGCATCTTGGAAGTCTGAGCGGCTTGTAGTTGCCCCCCTTGCAATAGCTGAGCAAGTGGCTGGACACCACCCACATCATGCTCTGACTGTTCCCACCGGAAGTTCTTCATTAGCCTGAATCAAATCCTTTTTCCTAGCGCTGTGCCCACTAACGGAATGAGCGATTTCTACAAACCTTCTAGTTAACGCTGAGAATATCTTTCCTTTGTTATTTGCATATTTGTTATTGGAGGAAGGGAATGACATTGAGATTAACTTTGATTTTCAATCTAGTTATCTTTTTTTTTTTTTTACTGATTATTTTGTGGTGACTGTAAACACACCAAAAAAATACAGACAGGCTGATAGAAGAAAATGGAAACCCCTCTAAGCTCACCACCCCCTCTCCAGAGAGAACTGCTGACACCTTTTGGTCTACGGCAGTGGTTGGCAAACTCATTAGTCAACAGAGCCAAATATCAACAGTATGACGATTGACATTTCTTTTGAGAGCCAAATTTTTTAAACTTAAACTTCTTCTAATGCCACTTCTTCAAAATAGACTTGCCCAGGCCGTGGTATTTTGTGGAAGAGCCACACTCAAGGAGCTGAAGAGCCGCATGTGGCTCTTGAGCCGCAGTTTGCCGACCACTGGTCTACGGCCTTCCGTAGACACTCTTTGAAACAGAAGTGGGCTTGTGCCGTCCATACTGTTTTGAAACCCATGTTTTAATTAACATCTATGAACGTTTCCCTATACCCTGTTTCCCCGAAAATAAGACAGTGTCATATTAATTTTTGCTCCCAAAGATGCGCTAGGTCTTATTTTCAGAAGATGTCTTATTTTTCCATGCGCTAGGTCTTATTTTCAGAGGATGTCTTATTTTTGGGGAAACACGGTATTAACATATATGCTACCTATTTATCTGTATCAACATAGTCTTGTACCTATAATGTTAATAGTTTGTTTTCTCATTTCGGTGGCTGAATAATATTTCATTGGATGGGTTGACCTAGGCTTATGAAAATACATTCTGCAGGAAGGAAAGACGATGTGGTTTCATGAGAATCATGTGTGACAGCTAGTACCTCCCGACAGTGGGCCAGCAGCGTGCTCCCTTGATGGCTGGCAACTCACCATCAGCACCGTCCAGCCATGGCCCATAGGGATGCTTGTCAGTGCCACAGCCGCTGCATCCCCGGCCTGTGGTGGCTCCGTGGGCCACGGTGAGCTCTGACACAGCTGCTCTGCCCCCGGGGAAGCCTCGTGCTGACAGAATGCATAACTGCCCAGGGAAGGTTCAGCCACGATTCCCACCAGAGGCTGGGAGACATGGCTCAGCTCCTCAGGCCAGCAGCCTGAGACCCCTCGGGCTTTCTCTGCGAACTCCCCCAGCTGGTGCATCCTGGGCCACTTACTTCTCCATCTGGTGGTAGAGCATCCCTCGCTGGAAGTAGGCCACTGCCAGGTGTTTGTCTCGGTTAATGGTTCTGGAGAAGGCCTGCGGGGAGAGGGAGGGTTCGCCTGGTCCGAGGAGGAGCTGGCGGAGAGGAGGTGTGGGACGAGCCAGAGGGTGAGGCAACCAGGGTCATGAGAACGGTGGTGTCTCTACAATGACACCGGGATCAGACTCTCTGTGCTGTCACTTCCTGCTGGCATGACGTGAAGCAGGTTACCTGACCTCCCTGAACCTTAGTGTTCTCCTCAGTGAAATGGGGATATGAATATCTCTCAAGAGTACTGACAGGATTTCAGTCAGAAAAGTAATTAAATATAAAAATAATTAAAATGTTAGATACAGTGTTCTATTTGTTTATGATATACGTTGATCACATAAGTATGACACCATTAAAATAATAACAAATATGAATGCATATAAAATGCCAGGAGTAAGGACTCAAGCAGGAGATCAGAGAGAAGCAGAGAGAGGGAGAAGGCAGAGCAGAATGTAGGGAGCAATCCAGAGTGGGGACAGGAAGTCATGGAGAGGGCCCAGAGGTGGGGGTGGCCTGCCCAGCCTTGCCAGGAGCCCCTGCTGGCATCACTGCCATGCTCCTCCCCCTCCATGCACACTTTGCTTCCAGCAGCCTTAGACTCTGTGGTGCTATTTGCTCAGCCCCCTGGCAGGCCCCTGAGAGGAGGTGCCCCCCCACCCCCCTGTGCTCCTATCTGCCCATTCTGGACCTGAGATGGATTTGTCAGTCTACAAGGTCTTCCAAGAAGCTTCTCTCCTCCCCCTTCTTTGCTCACTTCTGGCCACAGTGAGGATGGCTCTGGGAGGAACCGGCTCTTTAAGGGACCTGGGGAGCCAGTTGTCTGTCCACAAGGCCTTGCAAAGTCTGGCTGAAGGTAAGAAACGAGAACTAGCACGCACAACCTGTTGCGAAGTATCGTGGCATTTCCACATGCGATGCCTCACTTAACCTCAAGAGGTTCAAGAAACAGACTCGCTGAGGCCCCAAGGCCCAGAAAGAGGCAGAGCTCAGGTCTGACTCTCAGTCTTCTGCTTCCAAACTCCGTGCCCTTCCAGCTTCCCACCACCAATCCACAAGGTGATGCTTGAATACTCCCCCCCCCCCCCAGCCACACACACACACACACACACTTCAGGAACGTGAGAGGGGAAACATATTTGAAAAAGATGCTAAAACACCCGACATGGGTGCCCCCGGCAGACATCACTAATCAATCACTGCATCATTCCCTTCCACCAGCCTCAGAATCTTATTAGTAAAAGTCTTGGAAAGCTGGTAAGAGACGTTTTTGCAGCAGGTGTGAGGCAGTGAGATGCTGCGTGTGGACAGCAGGAGTTCACAGGAGGAAACATAGCCAGGGGAGTCTTCCTATAGGGACGAGAGAACGATTCCAGAACAATGTGGAGCTGAAGAAGAAAGGAGAGTAGATTCCAGCCTGGCTGCCCCTCTGCGGTGGGGCCTGGGCAGCTCTGGTTCTTTCAAAGCTCCCAAGAGGTTTCTCAAGTGCAGCTGGGGCAAAGGCAGGGAGGAGGTTGGGGGGGGGGGCACCTTCATTCCCTGGCTTACTCACTCACCTACCTTCTCTGCCGCCGCCCAGTTTCCCAGGACTGTGTGCATGCAGCCGATGTTGAAACAGATCCTGGAGTGGGGGTCCTGGACTGCGGAGAAGGCATCCAGGGCTCCCTTCCAGTCCTTCTTGTCGGCTGCCAGCACCCCATCATTCCAGAGGCTGATGGCCTCAGCCAGGGACATGGTGTGTTGGGGGAAGAGGAGGCTTCAAGCTGGCAGGAGACGGGGAGAGGGTGGAGGGCTCTCCCCCAGCTGGCCAGCCCCAGGCCTTCACTTCCACTGGGGCCCAGCCTCCCTTAAGACAGCTCCCCAGTGTTGCAAAGGCGTCAGGAAATGGCCCCGCCTTTCGGAAACTGATGCCACGCCACTGAGAGATGGGCCAGTGGGGGCGGAGTGTGGGAGAGGAAGTGCATCAGACCCTGCCCTCATGGTTCAGTTCCTCAAAATTCAGGCCCTGATTTCCGCGCGCTGGTTGAATGAGGGTGTTTGCTGAGGGGACAGTTCTTTCCACTCTTGCAGGAATGCCTTGCTCACGTTCTCATAACCTGTCTTGAAATAGGCCTATCTTGAAATATCTTTATTTTTATCTTGAGCTAAAGTGAGCAATGAGCACTTTTCTCTTGGGTGTCTTGGGTGTTCGTCTGGGTCTGGGATAACTTTTAGGAACGCTTAGGAAGCTCAGAAGGGCCAAAATGAAGAGCCATATAGGAGAATAAATTATGACTTCTCCCATCTTTGTGTGAAAACAGAAAAGACCAGGGCTCTCAATGATGACTGATGCGTTTACTACTTTCCAAAACAAACAAATGAGACATTGAATATTCCTTTCTCTTTTTAAAAAATATATTTTATTGATTTTTTATAGAGAGGAAGAGAGAGGGATAGAGAGTTAGAAACATCAATGAGAGAGAACCATCAATCAGCTGCCTCTTGCACACCCGCCACTGGGGATGTGCCCACAACCAAGGTACATGCCCCTGACCGGAATCGAACCTGGGACCTTTCAGTTTGCAGACCGACGCTCTATCCACTGAGCCAAACCAGTTTCGGCAAATATTCCTTTCTTTGGTGACCTAAAAAAAGTAAAAATCAGTAAAACCTCCCAGAGGAACAATTGTGAGTAGAGAGTAGAACCAGTTTGCCTTACTAAAATCCCCGCTTCTTGTTAATATTAGAGAAAATGTAGTTCTAGGAGGGCCAAATATTTACTTTGATTCTGTAGCAACGGAAAGAACTCGCCAGTTATCACCCAACTTCTCTTGAGAGCCCGAACATAAGACTTAAACATGGACATTCTATAGGATTGACGGGACTGAAGGAGTGAGAACTGAGAAGACACACATCCGTTTCCTGTGTGAAGGCCTTCCCACCTCACTTCCTTGCCTGGCAGACTCCTATTTGTCCAGAAAGGCCCAATGAGATGCCACCGCCTCTCTGAAGTCCAGCCTGGCACGCCAGGTAGTAGAGATCAATTTCCCTCCTTTCCCGCCTCTTCCTCCTAGACTCCCCAGCTCCAATGCTCAGGAAGAGATAGATGAAGGAATGCATCCCAGAAACAAGTGAGAAATCACTAACCAATGCCTTCAGGTGGCAGTGATACCAGGGAGAGATGCTGCTTATCCATCCCAGTGAAGAAGTAATCAGAACCTGATTAGCACATTGATTATTTCTAGGAAAACCAGGTGGATTTGTGGCTAATTGGTGATAATAGATGAGTTCTTTTGCAGCTAAGCTAGACTTTATTTAAACGTTCCCTCCTCTATTTTATTTTATCTTATTTTATTTGTTTTTTATTGATTTTCCACAGAGAGGAAGGGAGAGGGACAGAGAGCTAGAAACGTCAATGAGAGAGAAATATCGACCAGCTGCCTCCTGCACACCCCCACCGGGGATGTGCCCACAACCAATGCATATGCCCTTGACTGGAATTGAATCTGGGACCCTTCAGTCCACAGACCAACGCTCTATCCGCTGAGCCAAACCGATTTCAGCTTCCCTCCTCTTTTGAATTTATTATCCTAACCTGCCACACAGAACTCTCCTTAAAGTGACACCCCTGACTTTTCCAGCCTTATTTCCCAGAATGCCCCTTCACAAACCCCTACAAACTCCACTACTTGCTTCTCTCCCTCAGGCCTTCATTTTCTACCTCTCTGCTTCAGCTCCTGATGGTTTCTGTCTCTCTGGACTGCCCTTCCTAGGTCTGCCCCTTCCAAACCACCTGGCACAGCTTTCCGTGTCCTGCTCACATATTCCCTTCCTTCAGAAGTCACCCTGAAATCTGGCTCACCCTCAAATCACCTTCTAAACGCCCATGTGGCACCTAAGTGTTCTGTGTGTGCCTGTGTGTCTTAGACCAGGCTGTGCCCACCCTGCTATCCCCCAGATGCCATTCATACTGTTCTGTCCCCTTTCCCACCATCTCTCCTGTGGCCAACCTATCAGAGGGACATAGAGACTCCTAACATCTTTCCTTTCCATCCATTCATTCTCCACAACATGGCCAAACTCATCTCTTAAAGACACAGTCAGATCACGTCATTCCCTTGTTTTAAAACCTTCAGTGCCTTTGCATTGCTCTTAGAATATAATCCTTCCCCTGGTGTGAGGAGGATCCTGTGTGCTGCTCCTGCCATGCCTTTTCAGCCCCACCCAGGGCTCCGTGTGCCCTGAGCTCCTGTCCCCTCTGCCTGTGCTACTCACCTTTCACTGCCTCTGAGTGGCCTTTCCTATTCTATGACCTCACTGAGCTCACCCTGCTCCCTCTCTCTCACAGCACGCGGTTCTCTCTGGGCATGGTGCTGTGGCCATTTGTAACTGTATACCCTCTGCGGGTTGTTTCTGTCCCCCAGTGCAGACACAGTCATGATGACTGGCTTTGATTGCAACACTCACGGAGAGGGTGGTAGCTGACCTTCTCAGCTGCCCTTTGCTCCCCTTCCTCCTTTCGGCAGAACCAAAGTTCTGTTCAAGTCTCTACTTAACACTCCCTCAGGGAGTGGGGTTCTGACTGGCTTAGGCACAAACATGAGATGTAATTCGGTTAAAAAAACAACAACAAAAAAACGAGCAAAGGACCTAAACAGACACTTCTCCAAAGCAGACATACAGATGGCCAAGAGACATGAAAAAATGCTCAAAGTCCCTGATCATCAGAGAGATGCAAATGAAAACAACAATGAGGTATCACCTCACACCTGCCAGGATGGCTGCCATAAAAAAAAAAAAAATCAAATGACAAGTGCTGGCGAGGATGTGGAGAAAAGGGAAAATAAGACAGTGTCTTATATTAATTATTTCTCCCAAAGTTGCGCTAGGTCTTATTTTCAGGGAATGTCTTATCTTTCCATGCGCTAGGTCTTAGTTTTGGAGGATGTCTTGTTTTCGGGGAAACACAGTAGTACGCAGACTGGTACAGTCATTATGGAAAACAATATAGAGTTTCCTCAAAAAATTAAATATAGAACTGCCATTTGACGTAGTGATCCCACTTCTAGGGACATATCCTAACAGGAAACACCACTCAGAAAGAATGTATGCATGCCTATGTTCAAAGCAGCACAATCTACAATAGCTACGATCTGAAAGCAACCCAAGTGACCACCAGTAGATAAATGAATAAAAAAGATGTGGTATTTATACCATGGTATTATACTATGCAGCCATAAAAAAGAAGAATCTCTTATCCTTTGAGACAGCATGGAGCTGGAGAGTATTATGCTAAGTAAAATAAGCCAATCAGAGAAAGACAAGTATCACATGATCTCACTCATGTATGGAATCTAATTATCAAAATAAACTGATAAATGGAGTGGATCCAGAGACATGGAAACATGGAACAGAGTGCAGAATCCCAAAGGGAAAGCGAGGGCAGGTGAATAGGTGGGATGTGATCAACCAAAGAATGTGTATGCATACATGCATAACCCACGGACACAGATAATAGGGTGATGAAGACCTGGGGAAGGGGGAAAGGGGCAGGCTGGAGGGAGTCAGTGGGGGCAAAAAGCAGGACATATGTAATACTTTCAACAATAAAGACTAAAAAGAAAGACAGAAAGCAGAACACCTCAACTCCTGCTTTGTTCCCGAGTTACACAGGGAATGAAGATATAGACAGAGGGTGATGAGAAAGCTGAGAGCTTCTTTGAAGAAATTCCAGTTATCATATCCATATATTAAATCCCAGGAACCGAGCCATTTTGGAAGTCTGATCTCTAAAACCTTGTCAGTCTCTGAAGTTCCATAAAGAATGGGACTAGATACCAGAAAGCCAGGATGCATGAGTAAGTGTGGTTCTAGTTTTCTAAAGGCGTGAATTCCAAAAAGGACATCAAAGATTTATCAACTCATCCTTGGACAGAATTCTAAAATATAAAATATTAAACAAAGGCACTCAAAAACAAAATGGAAACCAGGACCTTCAGGAATGAGCATGAGTTTCCTAAAGTCAAGTCAGGTCAAAGCAACTACTCTTTCCTTTAAAAAAAATTTATATATATATATATATAGTTGACTTTTTACAGAGTCCCTCCAGAGGAGAGCATTTGAGAGCCTTGCTCCAAGTGCCCCTAGGATTTCTGGGAGCCTCAGGGCTCAGAGCCAGGGTTTGGAGGTGCCTCAGTGACTTCTGCCCCCATTCCTGCCCTTGAGTTCCATGGAGATACTTAACCATCTGTGGTCCCCTCTTATCCTGTGCTTTACCCAAGGAAGCATTGTGGGGCGAGGAATCCTGGATTTAAACCCGGCTCTGTCATGTACCCCTGAGTGAGCTTTCATAAGCCACTTCAGTTCTCAAGAGCCTCAGTTTCCTCATCTGAAAAACGGCTATAAGAACAGTGCCTAACTTGCTGGTGTATCCCAAGACTGAAATGAAATCTCTCTATATAAAAGCCTAAACCATTGTTATGATTAAAAGACCTAACGACCAGTCACTATGTCATGCATTGACCACCAGGGAGAAGACCATCAACATAGGAGCTGTCCCACTGGCGGTCAGCCAACCTCTGGAGGTCCCTCTCCCTGGCCAGCCAACATCCTGCAGTCTCTCTCCCATTGCTGGCCAACTTCTCACAGTTCCTCCCCGCACTGGCCAGCCCTGATTGGCCCCGATCGCCAGCCAGGCAGGGGGACCCCACCCGTGCATGAATTCGTGCACCTTGCCTCAGTGTTATATAAAAGTG